AACTCATTTGTTTGTCTGACTTGAGGCTTGTTCTTATCTTTGACTCAAACAAATATCTAAGAAAATTGTCTGCTTGAATAGGGGTTAAAAGACCAGTTCAGACAGAGGTGGCAAAGGAAACCAAAGCAAATGTCACAGAGTGATCTTGAGGTTGAAGTTCAGCTGGAAAAGTACATCTTAGATGAAAACTAAAAGTACAGTAAAAGTACAGTAGATTTGGCAACACAAATATTCCAGTGAAGAGACAAAGTCAGGAACAGAATTAGAGCAGGCGCAACATTTGCAAAAGCAACCAATTTAAAATGTTTTCATTCTACGTTTCAATAAGTGCAATTAATAAATGCATTTTACTGAACAAAAACCTAAACAGTCTGTCACATCTTAATGTGTTTGAATACTTTTGTGGCCTAAAATTCTGCGTCCCTCATTGAAAAGCTTTTTTTGTTTCACGTCATAAAAAGTCAGTAACTAGAGTCTCAAATAAATTAGGTAAACCAGAGAAAACTGAACAGTAAATCAAATTAACTAAAGCATGCTAATTACCAATTTGAACATAGATTTTTTAAAATAAATCTTAACAATGCATAACTACAACACAACACTTTCAACTATACTTACTCTCCTTATTAGAGCAGACTGCCTATCGTCTATTTCATAGATGGCCATATAGCATAGCTGACAGCAGTAAAGGAGAGCTGCACACATGAACTCCTCACTAACACTTTCCTACGCTAACCAGCTGTCCCCCTGTGGATTCAGCCACAGCCAAACCTTTGAAATGTCCTTCAAGGCGTGAATAAATAGCACAAACACTGCTCTGGGTAAAATCCTATTTGTACACTGTAATTACACTTTGAAAAGTTGTGAAGTTTTAAAGTTTCAAGACCTTCGCTTTCGCTCCTCTCATTTCAGATATTGATTAGGCTCTAAAATGCATGTACAGTAAAGCCGGCTGTTGAACAGAACAAAGAGGTTTCTCATTAGACGCTTTGCCTCAGACAACTTTGAATGTTTCAGATTTGATTTAGTTGTGTTGTCAAGGGACACAATCAGAAGAATGCAGTCAATAACTTTCAAAACAGTGGAACCACTGTTAATCTGCCTTTAACATCAAGGCTGGAGGCATTTTGAATGTGGTTATTAATGAGACAGAGGTTTGGAGTGATGGGTATCCCTAATGTCTTTCATGTTGAAAATAAAGAGAAATCTCTGCGAATCCCATAACGGGCAATTTTGGTGAACGCAGCATTGAACTGTGCTTTGGTCTTTCTAAAAAAAATATATATTTTTTTTTAAGTCCTTTAAATTAACTTCCAAAAAGTATTATTTGTGAAACACCTGTGATAATATCAAGAAAGATGGCAGATTAGTGACACATGGCTGCCAAGAAAATAAATATTAGAATGAGTAAGAAACATTTACAGCTGTAATTTTGGGGAGGACAGATTGGTCAATAGAAAATTTGTTGTGTTGGCTGCACAATAAGCGTAATTACCCAGCAACACTGTATTTACAGAAACAAACAGTAATTAAGTTGTTGGTTTTGGTTGCAATGTCTATGCACTAGGACGTAATTCCAAAACAAATGTATTTTGCACCATTAAAATCAGTCATTGTTTATAGCTACTCAAATGCAATACCATTTTATGTCTTTGAAATGCATGAAATTTAGGCTTTGGAGACTGAAGTCTGGCAAAGGGCTCGTTTTCCTGCTGAAATCTATCAACCCTACACTATTATTCCCTCACATGGGTGTCAAACCCTGTACCCATTATTTAAGCTGACCTTTGCTTGTGTCAAATGCTTTCTGCTGAGAATACAGGGAGGGAGCCTCAATGACTTGAACCACTCCCCCTCAAAGTGATCAATAAGGATGTTCAGTTCCATATACATCAGCTACTTTGAAGATAGGGGCGAGAAAGGGAAAGAGATTTATTAAGCAAAAATGTGTCATTGCAAGCCATGTAAAGAGAATCTGGTTGTGAAAAGATAAACTGAAAACAGCAAACTCGTTTCCTACAAGCAAATGAGCACTGAGATGACCAGCTCAAATTTAGAATTTTCTCATCTTAAAGCTAGCTAAACATATTTTAAAGGGACTTTAGTCACCATGAAATTATGGTTAATGATGCCCAAGCATTTTCTCTTGGTATTCTGTATTCTTACATAAATATATGTGTCGGGAATGCAAGGACATTATTTTTTTTGGAGGGGGGGGGTTTAAAATATAAGCAATCCAAAATCCAAAACTGTCGTTTTACTTATGGGGACGTGATCAGACTTCCACTGGTCCTTACCAGGATTAGACAAAGAGCGAATCTTACAGTCAGTCCTTATCAAAAATAAGTTTTGTCTTTTCCTCCTCAAAGGTTGCTTTATCAGCTCAGAGTTAGAGATGTGTTAGTTCCACTCAGCAGATGTTGGGAAATGCAAGCACTGTGATGCAGTTTCATTTCTGGGCCAGAAAGCCGAAAGAGGACTGCACCAAACACAGCAGTTGAGGCCTTCATCTGCACAATGAATTTTAATTTGGAATCAGATTGAAAAGGAATGTAGGCTGAAACAAGCATCGGTGTTAACTTTCCTCTTGGGTCAGCTTTCTGTAAACATCCCTTAACATGTCCGTTTTGCTTTGTGGCTTAAATCAGCTGTAAAATACACTAAAGGCAATTATCTATGCTCCAGATTGTTTCTGATCTCATGGTTACCTTGATAGGCTTTCTTGTACATAAAAATAGTAGTTTTAATAGTTTGGTGTGAGGAAAAGGGCTTTTGTCAGTGTATGACCATACATTTATTTAAAGAAATGGTGAAATAAATATCAACAGAATCATATAAATAAAAGATTGTTTTATTACCTGATTATTACTGATGGGTATTAGTACTCAAGGGTTGTGATTTCAAGGTTTTTGTTTGATTCTTGTTTTTTAGTTGTTCAAAAATCGCTCTGGATATTACTTCGACCACAGAAATCTGTTCAGAAATCTGTTCATCCATTTCACTGTGCTATTTTTGCATGCTGCAAAGTGGATATGTGTACTGTGCAAGTCACCAACTCTATACGGAATTTACCTCAGTATTTGGATATGCCATCATCGTTTATTCTATTTTTGTGCAGATAAATGGGGACATCGCCTAAAACTATCATGACTGGGAGTGGAACTGGCTGTTAGCGTGTTTGGTAACAGCTCCCTTATTACTTAAGTTTTTACTCCAATAATTGCTTTACAGTCTTATTTGTAAAAATGGGACAAAAAATACCCCTAAAAACAGAAGTTCATAATTTGCATTAGGGCATTTTATAATTGAGTGAAAAACTATGTTTTATTTTTATTTTGTGGAAATAGAGGTTCCTGAGTCAGAAAGCCTTGGTGGAATATACTAATTGATGTGGTTCTTTAATGCATTCAAAACCAAAAACTGAGGTGGTGCTGATGCTGACACAAGAGGAAGGTTAATTACCAGTAGTATGACTGTCTTAAAGCTCTTTTATTTAGCAATACTGTGTTGTGATGTCATGAATGTTTAAATGTTGTGAATAATCTTTCTCATATTGAATGACTTATAGTTTGGAAATTTTCTCATAACCCCTACCAAAATGAAGAGCAACAGTAGCTTCTTTGATGAGATGCTTCTCTGATCATCGTAGTGTCGGTTTCCTTTTCACAAACGAACACTGAATATTCCTGACCAGCAAAGTTCTGCTATTGCAACACATTACATTTGCTTGTAGGCAGAGGTTGACTTGGGTTTGAAAAGAAAAAAAAGGTTTTGTCATCTTAGGATTTATTCACATAAAACTTAACATGCATCTCAATTTAGAAGGGGGAAATATAAAAAGTAACACCATACCATTAAAACACATTTTGTTCAATTAATGCACGTTAAAAACAAGATGTAAATATTCCTCGTTAAAATACAACTCACTAAAAGTTACCGATGCCACCGTAACATCACAGCATAATGAAATTAAATTTCAATGTTAAGTTACTGTTAGAAAATATGCACTTCAAAAATTGGGATTGCATTGTGCAAAATATCATTTTAGATCAATCTTTACAACTTTTTTTATATTGAAAGTTAAGCTGAACTATATTTCTATTGGGTTTTTATGTTGAATTCTGACATTTGACATTAAAATGACCTCAGCAGACTTATTTTCCATGTCTAATACTGAAAACTGCAACATTAACTGCTTGAAACAACGATACATAACTTTTTAATGTATCAATTATCATGGGAAAATCTATTGTTTTCCCACGACAGACCTCGTTGAACCTCTCGCGATAGCTTAGTGTGGTTACCAGGGGAACGCGAGCTCAAAAAGTTGTCTGTTCTGTTTTTACTGGAAAACGATTGGTGATGTCAGCACGTTACTTTTGTGCATTCCAATTCATCAGACGACCTTTCTTAAGCGCCGCATATGATGTAAAAATGTAATGAGATATCAACATATTTGTGTTTGCCGTCCGCGCACTGCAAGGTTGGTATTTTAGTTTTACCATCTATCTTAGCATTAGCCTGCTACAGCTGTCTAGCTAACACACTCGTCTCTAGCTAGCGTAAATATTAGCAATCTGACAACGCCGCTTACTGTTTTTATAAACAGCATGACCATTTTAAGCGGTGTCAGTTGTAAAAGCATTGACTTGCTGCTATGTTCTGTCTGTCGGTTTTAAATGACAGTTTTATAACCAAGACGAGAACAGTTTACAAAAGATTGACGTTTCGCGGTAAAAATTCCAAATGTGGCAAAGGGTGTTTGATACACTTTGATGTACATGAAGTACAATCCAAAAGCGGCTAAGCCGAACTATTGCTAACGTTATTTTCTATCAAATTCTTGTTGTGTTGGGTTCTCATATTATCAGTCGAATGAAAGTATCGATATGTTGTATTTCCTTGGTTTTGTGCTGGAAGGACAGAAGCAGAGGGGTGTGCCGTAAGGTTAATGCAGTTTATTATTCCTCCACAGGTACAGAGAGGTATTAATCTGAAAAATGCCGTCGCCGCAAGTCCTCCAACCGGTTCTTAAAGTAAAGGTGGATGAGCTGTTTCTCCAGTGGCTTAGTGATCCGGGGACCCAGTCAGTACTCAAAGAGTATCTTGACCTAATCAAAAATGGACAGTACTTGAGTGGCGAAGATGCTCAAGATAAAAAATCACTCAGCTTCAACGAGAACAACAATGTGGCATCCCAGAGAAACTTGGCAGAGAAAAAAACTGCTCCCCTTGGTACACCTTCCAGCCCACCACCCAACAGTACCCTGCCTTCTCGAAGTAGCAGTAATTCCAGAGTTATAGGACCCAATGGCAGAGTGCTACGGAGGTCTGTCAGCACGAAGAAGGTATGTTGTCTACGAACAAAATTATTCACAAACACATATCCAGTTGGTTGTGATTATTGACCATCAGGTCCAAACAGTACTATATTGGTTTTATATGGTTAAGCAAGATTTAGTCCATCATGGTTCCTCCCATGGGGCAATTATTAAAGTTTGCATGTAATATCATAAAAACTGACTATATCCTCTCCTTGTTTTTCTACCTTGAGGTGTGCAGGGAATAATGCAAAAATCAAAATCACAAATAACAACATTTTTGCAACTACAGGTATATTAGAGCGCCTATGTTGGTATAAACAGGTCAAGTCCATAACGTTTCCTGTATTTTCTGAATTAGTCTGTTGTGTTCTAATGCACTGTACACGTGATCATATGGGATGGGGCCGCTTATAGATTTTTTTAAGACCAGTAATGATGATATTGAGTCATGGAACAATCAGTCACTTTGTTTAAGTGCAATAATTATTTGACATTTTAGAATAATCTGCACCAGCAACAACTCATTGTTTCATGATCCATCGAAGCAAAGCGTTTGCATATCCTATTGTAAACTTTTATTTGCTATATAAATGTTAAGTTGAACACTGGCTCTGTGGATAAAATGCAAACACAACCATGACTGTTAAATGTTTGAGAGATTTTCAGTTTTCCTAAAACTTATTGTGGTATTTGATTAGATGCAAAAAAGAAACAGAAAAATAATTTTATCAGGATCTTATGTCAGCTGTTAGCTGTCCTACTCTTTAAAGTATTGGCGTTTGCCATTGAACAACATTTATCAGCTGACTACTGACCAATGCTGATGTTGGAACAGTTCGAAAAACAAAACAATAACGAAAGAGACAATAACAATCTGAAAAAGCAAAACAGTGGGCCTGTTTCTACATTATTTATTTAGAAACAGGCAACGTTTTTATACATTTTAGAGTTGTGCTTTGAGAGTTGAACAAAACTAATCGTAGATATTACATTGATGCTAAGGGATTGTTTCACAATTCACATTGACGGTTAATTCACAATTAAATATGTACTAAAGATAAAGAATGAAACAAAATCATTAGTTTGATTAAGTTCCTTGTGATAAGAGAACTCTCAGTCTCTTAAAACTTTCCACCAGTGCATCCTCTGGTATCTTTACTTGCTTTGGGTGGCCACAAGAGGCTGCTGATAACTCTGACCCATCAAAGATGTCTGCTCTGTTCTGTGTGTTTGTGTGTACTGTATATATATATTCATAGTTGGGTCTTCGGTCTGTTGGCAGACATTGTGGCTTTTAGTCAAATACTTTCCAAATGTTCAGGCTGCACCCATAAGTGTGGTATGAGAGGCGTTAATGTCACTGTCTCACCCTGTGCTCTTTAGACCTTATTATCTGTCACTGTGCTCCCCCAGGGCAAATAGTTATTTTCTTTGGCCTGGTTCAATTATGGAAAAGGTTTAAGTGTGCAAAACGAATCAAAGCAGCAACAATTTTTGCATATTTTCTTAAGGACTCGCTCTGGTTTTAGACTATGTGTGTTGACAGTGAAACAGCAAGACAGCTGGGTGTGTGTTCTTCTCAAAGGCTCCACCTTCCACATGTTGTTGACATGCTAAAGATGGGCAGGAGGAGAAATTTAAGAAGTTGTTGTGACTTGTGCTGCCTTTCTGTTGGACCACCATGGCAGAACAACCAGTTTAGAGATATAAGGAATCTTTTAAAGGGTTTGAATTACAGTCCAAAATAGTGAATAAGAGGATGCACTGCAGGATAATCTTTCTTACTAAATGATGATGATGATGATGATGATTACATCACTGAAATGTGTACCTACAAGAAAGATAAACTGTAGATTGAACAAATGTCCGTTAGTCCCTCTGTTCCATTAGTCCCAGGCAAACATGGCTAATTAAAATCAATCAAAGTTAAACATCCGCTCCAGTGAGGCATTCCAGGTCATTCTCCACACATAGTTTATACAAGACCAATTTCCTGATGAAAGATAATGATGTAGGTTTATATGTTTTGTTTTTTTGTAAATATTTGTCTCAGATTGAGTTCATTAACCTTATAAGTCCTTCTGATGAGTGACTATGGAGTTAAGTTATGAATGCACACTTTCTGTGGTTAAACCTTCATCCCTCTCCTGTCACTGGCGTTAGCCCCCTATGTCTTCCCACCAGAAATGAATATAGAGCTGCTGCAGCTGCTGGACAGTTTGTGTGTTTCTACGCAGATGAATCATGCCCTGAGACGGCACTGTGTCACTCAATATTAAAGGGATTGCAAGGTTGTATGAATGTAACACTTCTATTTTAAGATAACAAAATGAATTCCGGCATACAGAAGCATTCTTGAAAGGATTACTCAAAAATTCAATTCATGTCACACTGATGCAGCCTGGAACAGCTGGTCTGACTTTGACATCAGACACTGATATAGATAGCCTTGTTTCCCTTGTGTTGGTGTTAGATACCCAGAACTCTGGCAGTGAGATGAGGTGTGGCAGCACATTCATTCTCCGCCTAATTTACTTTGAAATGGCCTCTATTAGATACTGCTCATTGTCAGGATATGTGGCCGTGGATTGTTTATTTAAAACAATGTACTGTAAATATTAGTTCTTTGGTGAGCGCATGGCTTTCCTTTCCGCTCTGTAGCTCAGTGTGTGAAATTGTCTCTGTGTTGTTGGTTCAATAGGTCGCATACAAAGACCCGAAAGTTTCAAATGCACCGTACTAAAAATAAGTTTTCTTTGAGGGTTTTTTTTCCTCTTCTTTACTCACTCTTTCTGCATTTAGGATAACAGATTTCTTAAGATGTCTTTTTATAACATGTTCAGCTGGGCTTAGCAACATTGAAGCTATTTGAAGCAGGGGGCCTGAGGTCATGTTATCAGTTGCCCGACCTGTCAGAGAGAACCAGGTGTTAAAACTGTTTCCCGTAAGTACTTTTTATTTTGGAGTCTTGGTCACTTGGTTGCACACTAAGCCTTTTTTTGTTTGTTTATTTTTTAACTAATAAGTATAGTCTTTCACATACTGAAGTTAAGCAACTGACAGAAAGAAATGGGGGTGTCTGTGGAAAATCACTCTCTTTACTTCCAAAGAATGGTTAACAAACGATGAAGAATTTAGTTGCCTCTGTATCTACTTATCTTGAATATTCAGTCTGCTTGTCTCACAATATGGGCGTCATTGATTTTTCTCAGGCATTATAGGGTTTTACTCTATTTCGTTATTAGCTCAGTACATTTTCTCTGCGTCTGTGAATCACACACTCAAAATGACATAAGGTAAGATCTTTAGAACTTTATTAGGCCCAAGATGGAGAGGTTCACAATGTTTCAGCCATGAGGATAGGAAGTGCTATTGGGAAGTTAACAAACTTAGAGTGACATTTTTTAATGCATTGGCAGTATTTACATTGTCCAGTGATTGTACACAGAGACAAAATTGGACGTTACAAAAACGTCATGTGTTTTACTGAGAACAGTGTTTGTTCGAAAGTATAACAGGAGTCCCATGCAGAATGCCTTCATAATATCCAAAAATCATATCGTCATGTAATGCAGTCTTTTCCCTGACTGTGGAATCCTGCTTTGATGTGTTGCAATTGTCACAGAACAACAGTGGATGGGTGGAAACAATATGTCTGTATATGTTAAAGCACCAGGAAAAAGTGTGATGAATAGTGTATGGATAAATGAAGTGTGGATGGAGGCTTCCCACAGCTCGTTACCTTAAAACCAACCTAGTTTGTGTTTAATTTATTTTTATTTTTGTAGTTTGGTAGATTCTAGAGTCCAGAGTGGAAACGTGACTGGTGTCGAGCACCCCAAAGTTCAAGTAAAATTTAGTAACGAAGTATACAACTTGTCATCTGACCAATGTTTGCTAACCTCAGACGTTGTGTTTCATAATCTCATTTGTTGTGCAATGGAGCGAACACAGTCAGACACATGTTTGTGTGCTAATCAAATTTTCCACAGTGGTTTTAGAGATTAGACACATTCTTAGTTCTGGTGTTTTTCTTGCAAGTGACCCACCTGCCTTTGGACATTGCCCTAAAGCAGCTTCTCTGATCATTAGTTGTTGAGACAGCGTACCTTCGGGGTCTTTAAATGATTTAAATGATAACACCTGCTGGAACTTGTCCATTCGGGTTTTTAAAAAAGCTCACATTTCACATTTGGTTTCACACCATACTTTCCTGAGCTGGTTGTTGCCAAATAAAAGCATGAAGTGTGCCTGAGAGTTGATGTCTTCACGTAGCCTGTATGTATTTAATTTCCTTCACTATTTTCTTTTATGAAAAGCCTCAATACAAGCAGCTCGCTGGACCCCTACAGCGTCCAGTGTGGTGGACGACAGGGACTGGCTCTCAACAAAAACCTGTCCAAACCCAAGCACTCCGTCAACCTGTCTTCTAAAAATACTGCGGGCGTGTCATTTGTTATGTTGCAATTACGATTACATTAACAGGTTTATTTATGTAGCCCCGTCCGAGGCGAACAGCACTGCGGGATTTCCATTACATCGGCAGGCACGTTGCGGTTTAAGGTCTCTGCTATGACGACAACTCCAGATCTGTGAGATCAAAGTATTTATGGAGAATCGGATGTTTGTTTGAGGACTAAAGGCACTCTTGTTTTCACAGATCTAGTCTCTTGGACTGCCCCAGCAGTATTTGGTGGGGCTTTTAATAGGCGCAGACAGGTTCAGTAATCATTCTTTGAATTTGACAGTGCCCCCCCCCCTCCCTCCATTGCCATCAACTATAATAAGACATGGAATGGCTGGTAGCTCAAGCTTGCACAGAGAAGGCAAACAAAAATCACTCTAAGATGGGATGCAAAACTGTTTAAGATATCTGTGTCTAACATCTGTGTGAATTTCATCTTGTGGCATGATCTACACTCTTACTATTAAATGGTCAGGTGTTGTAGGGTTGTGGCCATATTTGAAACCTCATTTGGGCAACCAAATTATGTCCTGTGCTCATCAAGTCATCACTTCACAAGGCTTTATTCCATTCATTGGTGTTCCTGGTCTGAAATAAAGTCAAGTTCTCAAATGAAGGGATTTCTGAAGTACTCTGCCATGTGGGAGCCTTTTCTGAAAAGACGCCCGTGGACACGAGCGGCATGTCATTGTGGCAGCGAGGTGCATCCTTCAGCTGAACTCTGTCTGCCGCGAGTGGCAACAACAGGTCCGTCTCTTTACATAACCTTCCATAAGCACTGAGGAATGCAAACTGGAAAGGGCAGATCCACCACTCACACCCCTCCCTTCCCACACACGGACAGCAAGTGAGTCCCAAACACATGCACCCAGTCACTCCTTATCTCCCCAGCAGCTTTGAAGCAAGGGCTTCCTGACCCTTCAGCATGCATGTGTGCGAGTGCACGCTGGGTAGCCACTAGGACAGAGCGGCAGGCAAAGCTGAGATTGTGCGACCAGATCTGGAACGGGAGGGAGAGTCGCAGTAGCAGCTGCTCCCTCGCATTAAGAGGCTCTCACTGACAGAGGACAATCACAGGGACAAACTCACAGAGGACCTCCACTGCCTTTTTTACTCCCAGAGCCATTTCGCAAGTGGTACGGCCAAAGAGGATAACCCTGGGCTGAGTGTTTTTGTTTTTGCGCGTGCGAGTAGCCCCATCCCGACTGGAGTAAGGATGAGGATGAGAGAGCTGTCCCTGCGCCAGGATCCTGACCTGAGGAAGGAGCTGGCGCTGCTGGCGCGCGGATGTGACTTTGTTTTGCCTTCTCGGTTCAAGAAGAGGCTCAGAGCTTTCCAACAAGGACAGGCAGGTGTTTGTATGAGCACACTCTCTACGACTCGGGCTTTGACGGCACATCAGCCCAGGAGCAAGGCCTAATAATACCATATGGGAAACCGTGATTCATGTTTTAAGTACTCGCATACTTTAAAACACCTCCATGGCAAACTAATATATAAGAAATGTTGCCATAATACTGCCAGAGGTTCTTTTGCCATGCTTGCTGCCCCAGCATTTATGCCTAAGCTCTAATTGCTGGATGTTTTGTCTTGGTTTCCACATTGCGTTCAGCTGCCGTGCGTTCCGCTCTCAGACCGCATCACTGCGAATGTGCAAAGTGTCATGTGGCTTAACAGTTGTGCCGAAGAGCTCTGCAAGCACGAAGTGAGAGAGAGGGGGACAGTGCAAGGCAGCAGGAGATGTTTGTGTCCTTTTATAGCCATGGCTGACACCAACACACACCATGGAAGAGCAGAGGATCAGCAGTGTTCATCATTAATCAGGTTAAGAAAAGCAGGAATTACATAGTGCGGGGGGGGGGGGGGGCTTTTCAGCCAGCATTGAAACACTTACATGGAAAGCGTTAGCTTGCTGTTTAATGGGAAGGCTTCCTGAAGTCACTGTTGAGAGTTTTATCAGTGCAGATGTGATGCCATGTGTTGGCTTGGTTAAAATATCGGTTAGATGCTGGCAGCATTTTTGCAAAGTGTCTGAATCACAGAGGGGAGCTACACTTAGCAAATGAATCCACTGGAATTACATTTGAGTCCAACTTTATTCCTACATGGCCCATAAAAAGCTGCCGCCCCTCCTGTCTGAGGCAGAATTTTTAACAGACTGGTTTGCATACTGTTCATGCCTCCTGTAATTCTATTACTAGGTCTGTTGTTGACAACTACTGTTGGCCCACGTTGGGCGGGTTGTTTAAACCTAGTCATGGTGGCTCCACTTACTTTGTTCTTTCTTTAGTTGGAACTCACATTCCTGCCTCTTAATAAACTTTGGAGGGCACATCTGAGAGTTTGACTAATGATTCAAGCATTTTGTTTAAGTGAGCCAGTTAGACATGTAACATTTTCTTAGTCAATAATTTAATAAATACTTCATTTATATTTATATCATTCCTTTTCAGATAAATGCAGCCATGAAGATACACGTCAAAGCATCAATGCATATACATAACAAACTATTAGTGTTGAGTTATACCACGATTATAATCAGGATATCAAGAGAATAAGATCTTAGTATTGTATTGATAATGTTCATATGATGATAATGTGATGTAATCTGAGTTAGAGATATAAAGTTTTTCATTCTATACAGCCCAGTTTTAATGTCATTGAATTGCCACTCTATATGCAAACGGAGGAAGAATGTTCAATGCATTCTGGGACGTTTTTATTTTGATAGTACCATCATCATGAATTGTTTAATAAAAATCAGGTATTTGGACTACTCTGTCCTATGACACGTTGACACAGATCATGACATGCACTTTGATTTCTGAACTAAAGTAATGCTCCGTTTTTGTTTCGTGTTAACTGGAAAACCACTGGACACTAGGCGTGTGGAGCGAAGCTCTTAAAAGTTTGGTTTAAAGTTGTGTTGGTGGTACCTGGAGAGCTGAAACTCCTCAGGCGTTTTACGTGCGGTTCCAACACAGATGATGCTGGTAACAGCTTGCCATCAACCAGGATGAACACCAAATGTCAGTCATTTGCTCTTAAGAGGATAAATATGAATCTTATTTTGTCCAATCATGAAACAAAGTGGGTTTTCATTTTAAAAGACTTCTCCCAATATATGTCGGTTCCTATTGGATGGGAATGTCAGCGGTGGGCTATCTGTTACAGATAAATGGATAACGATTATGAACGCTGAGTAGCCACAACTCCTCGCTGATGAGCTTCTGGGCTGCTCGCAGATTCAGTTACACAAGCGCCAGCAGCGGCGCAGCTTGCGTTCGAGCGAGCCTCAGCAAATGCTGGAACACTTGAGCTGACGGGGCGTTGGTGGCTAACAGTTTGCCTCTCTGTTCATCTCAGGCCCAGGTCAGGACGGAGGAGCCGGTCACCACAGCGCTGAGCGAAAGCATTCCCAAGTTTCACTTCCCACAGGGCCGGCCTCAGGCCAACCTCAACATCGACGGCCTCATTTCCAAAATTGAGAAAATATTTTCCCAATTCCCAAATGAAAGGGCCACCATTGAGGACATGGGGCAAGTGGCCAAGGTGAGTGTGTGACTTGAAGTGCGGGGGGGACTCAACCACCACCCAGCAAATTATTTTCATTGGTGCCAATTAAGCCCCTGACTAGGTGATTTTAAAACCTCATGGAAAATATTATTTCCGATTTGGGGAATGGGATCAGTGGGCTCAGGGGACCCAAAGCGCAGAGACACTATGACTGATGCATTCACAGTTCATGACTCCAAACTTTTGCCACTTGTGTGTGTAATATTCATCTTACTGTCTGATGTTTTCTCTCTTTGTATTTGCCACGCACTACCCCTCAAAGCCGATTTTTTTTTCCCCTCTCCCTTTAGGCCTGTGAGTGTCCACTCTACTGGAAAGTGCCATTGTTCTGCTTAGCTGGAGGCGACAGGACGGGTTTCGTGTCCGTTCACAAGTTTGTGGCGATGTGGAGAAAGTAAGACAATGGCCGCTCTCACTCAAACTAGACATTCGCCACATTCACTCACAGCCAAATGCCTCACGCAGACCCGACCGAAACAAAGATTGGCAACACGCAGTGCTCGCAAAAAAAAACAAAAAAACAATACCAAATAACAAAAACATGATCTTTATAAACCCCACAAGGGCAAATCTCTGTTCTTGTACAGTGCAGCTCGTAAATCCATTCAGCGTCCGTCTTTTGAAAGCGAATGCCACGGGAGCTTTTATTAATGGTGGCTGTGTGAATGTTGTTGCGGGCAATAGGCACGCTCTTGTATGAGTGTGTGATTCTCCAGAGAACAGGACAGATCCGGCCTTTGACATGAGCCCATAACTGAGCCATTCTTAGACGGGGAGGCCGTAACAGACGCTCCCATTATTTTTGTATCTCCACGCCTATAATCACCCAGCACCAAGTCAGAATGCTAATTTCCGAATGCATTATATCTGCAGCGATTTAAATCCTTTTTCCCTTTTTTTTTTTTTTTTTTGTACAAGAACATGAGAGCCGAAGTGGAAGCAACCTCACGACCATCTGTTCCCTGTTTTCTTCCCCAGAACTCTGCAGACCTGTCACGACGAGGCCTCTAAATTTGTGCACCTCTTGGCCAAGCCTGGCTGTAATTACCTGGAACAAGACGACCTTATTCCATTCCTGCAGGTACGGGCTGCAAGCACACCCAGGGAGAGGGCTGGGGCTGGCTGCGTGGGGCAGCAGCATTTGGGTGGTGCAAACTGAGGCTCGATTATTTTTTTTATTTTTTTTAAATGCCAACTGCTTAGTAAGCGCATTTTGATGTGGTGGAGGGCTAATTCAGACAGTGCTGTAAGCCAGGGGAGATTCTACGGAAAAAAGTCTTTATACTCAGCGGTTATTAACAAAAAGGAAATTGAGATTTTGAAATATGATGCATCTTATGTTCCAAACATCGCGGTACTCTAAAAAAAAAAAAAAAAAAACACAGACCGGTTTATTTCTTTTTTGGGTGAATTAGTGGAGATCCGTGTGGAGCGGATCTGCTGCGGTGGCTGTTTGCGTTGCCGTTCCAGCTGACGAGCAATTTCTGCCCCCACACCTGATTCATTTTCATGCTGGCAGCCGCCTCCAGCCCCGAGATGAAAACCCGTTAGCATACCAGCGGAGATGTTCGGTGGCACACGCTGGTTAATTTGTACAGTTCCGCTCGGGCAAACCGCCTTTGACTGTTTTGATGAATGAAAGGCGGATTGCAGTGGAGTAGATTTGACTGTCTCCACCTGTTTCCCGCGCCCTGTGATTTATGTGTTTCTCTATGATTTAATTTCCCGCAGTAAAGAGTCAAATAGGCACAACGGCCGCCCTGAAAATAAGCCATTTTATAATTCCATCACTGCCCTCACGTTTATGTCAACAATCCTTTAATGTTAATGTAAGGGAATAGGATAAAGAGAATCCTGTATGAGTTTTAGAGCAGGAAATATAACCACTGCTAATTTAGTAAAAGAGCAATTTCCTATGACTTTATGGCCTAAAAAGAAATGACACAAGTCACTAACAGGCATCTTTTAGTTTATCCTCTCCACTACTTTGTTCCTATACCAACAGTATATTATTATTGTTCCATTCATAGATAGATAGATGACTTCATTTATCCCCAAAGGGGAATAAGGTAAAAACATTTCACAGGATTCCCGCTCCCACTGAGACCTGGAGTGTTTCCTTTTAAAGCAAATGGATAAAAAGCATGTGCTGTGACAAAATCATGTACAGTAGACAGACACTTGCAAGCTCTGATCTTTCCATTAATGTGGATTTATATTCCCACTCCGTCTTCCAAAAAAAGAAAGTCGGACGTGGGTCGTTATTTTTGCTCGTCCCTGGAAGTGACCGTAGATCTGAACCGAAGGGATCTATCTGGCGGAGTAGCGGTCGTAAAACTTCACAGGCCCGGGTTGATTGTTTCTTTTGATGTGCAGAATAAGACAGAGTGATGTGACTTTATGTTTTCAGGATGTGGTGAACTCCCATGCAGGCTTGGCGTTCCTAAAAGAGGCACCGGACTTTCACTCGCGATACATCACCACGGTGTGACATGAAAAACACACATGAGAGCACTTAACAAGAAATGTGTCTGTATTTTATCTCCTTTTACAAGACAGCGTGATTGGTTTTTAATTCTCTGTTTCATTTTAGGTGATTCAAAGGATATTCTACAACGTCAACCGGTCATGGACTGGTAAAATAACGTGCACCGAACTCAGGAAAAGTAATTTCCTTCAGGTAATGGTCTTTTTTATTTTTTTCTCATAAACTTTAGCGCTCCTTTACTGATTGTCACAAGTTCGACTGCAAAATGTACATTTTCTGCTCATGCAGCACGTAAAAAAGTAAAAAATGCTTACACATACGCTTATCCAGTCTCAGTTTATAAGCTGATATTTGAATATTAGATATTTATTGACACGTAACTGATGTTTCAAATCCTTTTTATGGCACAGAACGTGGCGCTGCTGGAGCAAGAGGAAGACGTGAACCAGCTGACGGAGTACTTCTCCTATGAACATTTCTACGTGATCTACTGCAAGTTCTGGGAGCTGGACTCTGACCATGACCTCTACATAGACCAGAAGGACCTGGCACGGCACAACGACCAAGGTGCGCAATCACACGGCTATTTGAATTCAGACTGGACTTCGTTTTTAATAATTTAAATCGGCTTTAGATCATGTCAATACACGCAAATTTTAAATAACTTGTAAAAGGCGCAGGGGGAAATGAACTTTCCTTAAAGTTCGCAGCCACTTGGCGGCATCGTCAGAGTGGCACTACGTGTAAATGTTGTCTGGAAGAGGTCTGGTTGCTTAGATACAGCCAGGGTAAGGGGGGAAAAAAAGGCTTTCCTCCGACACTGCCTCCCCTCACTCCGCACCACATGTTTTTAGTTGACGGTTTGTGAGCGAGGCAGGGGAAATAAGACACAAGATCAGTAAGAGAGTAGAATATATTCTCTACTCCAGTGACGCCTCGTCTGGAACTATCTCTACCACTGTATGGTCAAAATGATGACCAGACAATTCAAAGCACCGTCAGGGCTTCTTTATCTTCTTTTTACCTTTTAAAGCCTGATTCAAGAAAAAATTATTGGTCCTTTAACAAAAGAATAAGAAACAAAACTGAAATTAATTTTGAACATTCATCATTTGTTACCGTGGGGGAGTTCTAATTGCATGTGTAGTGAAAAGGCTTTACAGTTTTACAGTGATTAAATATGTTGCTTTGTTTTGTTTTTAGCCATTTCAGAAAAAATGATCGAGAGGATATTCTCAGGAACAGTGACACGGTCAGTTCGAGTCGGTCTTTGTTCTATTCCCGCATGAAACGATCGAGTCTGATCCAAACGACCATTCCTAACGTGGGTTTTTTGTGGTTTCGGCCCACCAGGGACAGACTGGTGTTCAAACAGGGACGGCTGAGTTACGCCGACTTCGTGTGGTTCCTCATCTCCGAGGAGGACAAAAAGACGGACACCAGGTATCGCGACACAGACGTCCGTCGTCCATTTTCCCGCTCCCAGCTCTCGGCCATCTGTCAAACTAACCCGTCTGTGTGTTCAGCATAGAGTACTGGTTCCGCTGCATGGACCTGAACGGGGACGGCGTGCTCAGCATGTACGAGCTGGAGTTTTTCTACGAGGAGCAGTGCCAGAAGCTGGAGGCCATGGCCATCGAGCCCCTTCCCTTCGAGGACTGCCTCTGCCAAATGCTCGACCTGGTCAAGCCCGAGGTGGAAGGTCAGAGCCGTTTAACATCAGAACCCTCAGCTTAAAGTGTCACACTCCCCACTTCTTCTAAACCCCCCTCACAGTCTCAGTGGCAGACACACATGCACTTTTTTAAGGCCAGATCATTGATCGCTGGCTGAGGGAACAGTTATAGAGGAGAGGAATGATGGTGGCCAGCTGCTGGTGTCACCCAGCTGTCAACAGACTCCCTCCTGCCCTCCACTCTGGGTTATTTAGGCCTTGGTTCACGTAGGGGGAAAATACATGTTTAGTGTCGATGGTGAACAACTTCTCCATGGGGATGTTTTCCAGAAAGAAAACAGACGCTGGAATAACTCTTATTTTAACAGATATTTCTTATCTAACACCATAGTTAGTGACACTGGAATTAGATTTAAACGCTTTTGAGTGCATTTTTGTAAAGTCAGAGGCCATATAATGTCGCATACAGACCACTCTAACATTTTAGTAGTCGATTATTTGTCCCACAAATGATTACAGTTAAAACCGATTGTATTTTTGTATAGACCAAATAATAACTCTTTGTTTCTGCCAACTCCTTTAAAGAATAACAATGGCTAATACACTGGGCTAGTTTTTCCATCTGTCAAAAGATTTATTTTCTGTTAGAAAGAAGCATTCTTATTCCTGTAAATGTATGTAGTTATTACATTGTTGTTACATTTAGAGTTGATTAGTCATAATCCGTGTGAAAGTGCGCTTTTGACAACTGGAGTTGTTTTCTCATGCAGGTAAAATCACTCTGCGAGACCTCAAGCGGTGCAAGCTGTCCCATATCTTCTTTGACACATTCTTCAACATTGAAAAGTACTTGGACCACGAGCAGAGGGATCCTTTCTCCGTCATAAGGGTGAGGGAGACCAAATCCGGTCTGGACGACTCCAGATACAAACCCGAATCGCCCTCCGGTGTCCTGTGGGAGCTCGGGCTGATGGCGCGGGTCTGCCTTTGTTTCAGGAGGCCGAGACGGACGGCCAGGAGGTGTCGGACTGGGAGAAGTATGCGGCGGAGGAATACGACATTCTGGTGGCCGAGGAGGCTGCCAACGACCAGTGTAACGATGTGTAAGTGCAGCTTTATTTATGGATCCGTCAGCTCTCCCAAATGTATAAAGCATGGACATAGAAGTATTTCCCAAACTCATCTACAAGCAGTAGGTAGTCCAATCTCCTCAGGACTAATCTACCGTTGTACTGTCCCCCCTCTGATTGTTCTGTTTTTATTCTCATGAGTTATTCATGCGTCTTATTTGTAATTACTGTGTAATAAGAAATGAGTAAACATATCTGGCACGGCTATTTGTCATTTTGAACCAGCATAGTATCGTTTTTTTATGTGGAAACTCACTGTTTTACCTATAATCACACACGGACAGAGCGTGTAGCAGGCCGGCAGCGCTCGACGCCCCCGTTGCTCCCCAGATAACGTGCCCACTGAGAACAGTCAGAGATAAATGAGGCTGATGACAGGAATGTTGTGTGGCGGTTTTAGGAACTCCACTGACTTCTAAAGGCAGGCTGCCACCCAGATCAGGTAAGACGAACAGGGCACCAGCAGGAATACGTGTTTTCTCCTCCTCTTCCTCACCCTCCTCCTCCTCCACACTGGGCTGATTCCAGTCTTAAACCCACTCCCAGCCTCTACCCCGCCCAATCAGAGTCCCCGGTTATCAGGACAGGGTCACGTCAGAGCTGGGAGTTTGTTTTTGAACCGGGCTCCTTCTGTCTTTACCCTTCCTCTTTTTTTTTTTTTTTCCTTGAAAAAGTGAAGAAACTAAAGTTCCTCTCCCACCCAGCATCCTCCTCCTCCTCCTCCTCAAGCCTCCGGGCTGCTGTCCTTTCCAGTCACACTGGCTCGTCATAAAACCTCCCGTTTCAAAAAAGAGAATTGCTCTGATGTGTCCGACAGGACACTTATTTGTTCTCTTGCCAGGCGTTAAGATGAGATGTTTCGAAAAGCCTCATTTCCGCTGTAAGCATCCCCGTTAAAGTGGGGTTATTTACACCATATGGCTTGTTTGTAGGAGAGCTGATTTCCTGGCCTCGACTCGCCCGTTCCATGCCAGGCAAACAGCAGGAACTAATATTTTTTTACACCCTACACTTCTTTGAACGAGTTATTGGTGGGATTTTGTTGCTTCTTTTATAGAGCTGGTTTGACCCTCTCCTGCTGGCGGTTTTCGCTCTGAATGACACTTTTGGCAAGAATGCAAATGGGTGTTTGTCCAGCTATCTCATTTTGTGGTTATCCCGGGACACAATCACCCCTCTGTCACTTGGGCTGCGTTCAGATCTGTACAACAGACAGTTTGAGAGATGTTTTGCTGTTGGTCTGATCAAAAATGTTGACCTTTTCTATCCGTTAACATCATTCTTTACATATTGTAGGGGATAAATTCCCTTTTAAAAGGGGTGGATTACAAATAAATATGTTTTCAAATCTTAGTTTTTCTTTGAAAATTCCCTGTTTCTTATGACCGAACTCCAGAATCCTCATTGGGACAGAAAAAGAGCTCAGTGTTTCCTCGTGTCATTCTAAATTTAACTTCATTTTCGGCCAACATAAGCAGAACTCTGTTCTCTAACCACGTGGACGCATCCCTTCGGCTAATTGTTCTGCTCTCTCTGCGTCCGTGCAGGTACGAAAACCGTCTGAGCCCCCTGGGGCAGCACATCTCCAGCGAGCTGGCTCTGACCAAGAGGCACTTCTTCGAGATCCCCAGCCCGCACTGCAACCTGGACCTGGACGAGTACGAATACGAAGACGACTTTGAATGAGGGCCCGCCGGGGCGCCGTCCACTCCCGGACACAGAGCTGGACGCGGTCAAACGCTCCGGGTCCGGTCCACACTTCACCCGGAACAAACAATAAAACAGATAAATAAACAGAGGATGCATCGGAAGCAACCGGCTTCGGTCGAGTTTGACAAAAGAGCTGCTTTTCGCACGCCGTCCTTTCTGTCGATAATGCACAGGGTGAGTCTCATTTCATCTCAACGTCGGCGTTGCGTAATCACGTTTTCACGGGCGCCGGACAACAGAAACACATTGGAGCTCCCCGAATAGTTGGATAAGAAAACCATGCTGATTTCATTCAGGGATCAATCCTATTGGCCAATGTTACATTCCAGCGATCATATCTAAAAAAGGTTTCCGATGAAGCTGTAAACGCATAAAAGCGGTTTTGCTGAAAAGTCAAGAGGACGCTTCGAACGCCAAACGAGCCGCCACACAGCGAATATTGTACAGGCCTGGATTCATTACGACTGTCATGTTACGCGTGAGATGGGTTTATAAATTATTAGAGATGAATTTCTAAAAGTACTGTACATATTTATTTTGAGCTTGCCGTGTTTTAGACATTTTTTCTATGTCACCGAATACTTCAATTGTATTGTACTTTGACAGGACAAAAGAAATGTTTGTTTTTCTTAAAATGAATAATAAAGCTTTGGTTAAAGGTGTGAAAGAGGCAGTTATACATGTGTGTCTGATTAACCTGTGACGGGATTTTCTACTCATCCATATTGCGATTATAGCTGTTTGAAGTATCTCAACGAGATGCTTTTTTAAAGAATATAGATACTTTTTTTTTTTACTTTTAAGATATGACTTAGGCAATTTTATTCAAAATAAAGAAAAGTTACATAAACTGCATATGTAGTGTTAAAGTCAGACAGAAAATGACATCACGGTTGTCAGTTGACATTATTACTATTGAGGACTGTTCTTGGATGACGATGGAATCCAAAACATGAATGTAGAGAATTTACTTAATGTTCCCTGTACAATTCAAGTCAAGTTTACAGTACAGCATGTTTAACAATTTTTAAAAAATCCATTTAAAAATATAATATCAATACAAATGGTCCTTAATTTAAATTCAGAATGACTGAAAAAAGGATGAACTGTCATGATAGAACATAGGATTTAAAGAGAATAAATAAATTGCCCCAAAATCTGCTGGTACTTGAGCATCCCTTTATGGGGAACTCATCCACCACATTATTTTACTTGGAACACACAAGTGAGGAACAACATTCCAGCTTATGCACAATAAGAAACCCTGGTTTACGCATTTAATCTTAAATCTACTTTTGAAAAATTAACCGCCTGTTATTATATTATTTTATATATATTATCATAATATTATATATTATTATATTTCTTATATCATTCAACTGAGAGCCTTCCTGTTTATTAAAGCTGGGATGGCTTGTGATGCTTTTCTTTGAAAAGTTTACATAAACCCAGCTCAGGATTTTAATTCTGTTGATGACACAAATGTTTAAAACATTTTGAAATCATTTAAAGAGACCATGCGGCACTTAAAAAAAAAGTTAAAATTAGGGGAGAAAAAGTGCTTTTGTTGGGGACTATTTTGCAAACTGTCAAAAGTATTTTGGCAGCGGGAAGGTGCTTATCGCTCTGACTCATACATGATTCAGCTCAGTGTAAATTAGCCACCGGGGCTCACTTTTCAACAATAGTTTTGGTCATGACATAAAAGGAATGGATCAGAATGACCGTTTTTTTTCCTTTAGATCCTCCTAATAACGTAAAATACTGCAAGTTCCCAGAAAACAACAAAAACATGGAAGCCTGAATGTCTTCAAGAAGAAAACGCTGCTTACAAAAGTATAAATTTTGGATCCAGGAGAAGCGAGGCATCCCCCGCCCTCTTGGTATTTACAGCTCAACCTCCACAGTGCCATCGTCCGGCTCGTTGCTGATGGTGAGGACAGCATCAGTGGTGAGAGGGACGGAAAACGGCTCCACGTTGCCCGTCTTCTGATGGCTGAGCGGCGGGAGGTTGTTATTGAAATGAAGAATTTTAGATCAGGAAAAAAACTAGAAGAAAAAAAAACGCATACTGGAAAGCACTCACCTGGGGCTGATGCTCTGCTTTTGAACTTTACCAACTTTTGAGTCACCGGGACTGAAAGTGTGTTGGGACTTGCTTCCTGTAAAAACAAACGCATGCAACAAAACAGCGACAAAAACTTGATTAACCCTTGTGTGCCGTAATCCGTTCAAATGTCCCCGTTTTGAATGTTTCAGAAGAGAAGCGATAAAGTACACATTCTTTTAGCCCTGAGAGTCGGACTTGTGCTTATTTTCTGTGACAAACATGTAAAAACAGAGAAAAAAAAAAAGATTTAAGCTCTGGCTACCATGCCACCCACCCACCCACACACACACACACACACTCACACACGCACACACCCTTACCCTTCATGTCAATTTTACACGCAGACACAAAGATAACGTGTCCATCTGCTAATTTCTTTCTTAGGTTGTTTCATAATACTCTAAACACTAAACAATGTTTTTGCCTTTTTAGCCGTCCGAGGGCTTTAGAGCTCCAACTCAAAGAGAGAGTCGGGAACGCGGGCGAACCGTTTCTGACCCGTGGGTCCGGAGGGTCGGTGTCATGGCGCTGTACCTTCCAGCTTGTGCTTGGGGAGGGGCGATCTGTTCTGCGTGTGCGGCCTCCGGCCGGAGCTCACGTAGGACGCGGCGTCCTCGGCCTCGGCCGCGGCCAGCAGCGAGGCGCGGTAGTAGATGAGCGGCTGCCAGCGCTCCTCCCTGAGGTCGGTGACCAGCTCGGCCGTGTGTCTCTGCAGGTGGGAGAGCCTGGAACGGACACAGGGGGGGTCAGGGGTCACCACCGCGGCGTTTTCTGGCCGGGCCTTAAACCTGGCCCTCGCTCCCTCCACCGCTCACATGGTCTTCTTGTCCGGTCTGAGCAGTTTGCTGGAGAACTCGCTGAGGATGGTCAGGTAGGGGAGGTGGGGCGGGGTGGCGGCCTCCGGGCTCTGGCCGAACTCTTGGAACACGAACTCTATCCCGTTCCTGGACACATCAGGGAGGATATTCAGCCGTCTGGAAAAAGCCGAGTCGCCTCCCGTCCCCCGCCCCCCGCTGACCTGTGGATCATGACCACGCATTCGCGAAATTTGACGGGGTCCCCGAAGGTGAGGGCGAAGCGCCTGGCCAGCTCTTTGATGCTGGTGAACGTCTGGACGCCCGGGTGACCCCTGCCGCCGCTGTCCTGCTCGCGCTTCAGTCGCACAAAGAGCTGGAAAAAAACAAAAACAAACACATCAGGATTATACTGACCTCTGGAAACAGGAGGGTTTTTTTGTTTTTTCCCTTTTACCTCCTGCAAACAGAGCAGCAGAGAGCGAGCGCTCTCTATTTTGTCCATCTTCCTGGTCCTGTACATGGTCTCCTTGATGATGTCGCCGAAGTCATTGTAGAACTGGGGACAAAAAGAGGAAATGACACAAAAGCCCTTCAATCCGTTTCTTTCTGCTCTAGAGTCTGCATCTGAAATCATATATCAGTTCAAGTGTGCTCCACTTTATAGAATCTCTACATATAAAAACTGTACCGAGTGTGTTCGAAGGCTTTCTAGTTTATCTCTCTGTCCTAAACTGGGCCAAAACCAGAGGTCAGATTTTGTGGGAAGTCAGTTTTCATCGTAAAAACACGCTAATGAAAAAGTAACTTATCTCAGGCAAAATAAATTAACTTAGTCTCAGCCGGGGCCATCTCCATCTATTCCCTTCTACACTAAATTTAGAAGTCTTTTTTTAAAGATAACAAAAGACTAACCAGGCGACCATAGCATTAAGCAGAGGTAATAAACAGCCAGTTCCCAGAGTTTATCACCTTTCTGCTGAGCCAATGTAAGTTAGGCTAGTAGACCACAAACTAAAATGCATTTCACCCCTATCTTTATTTATTTTATTTCTATTTTCTTGCAAATACTCTTCACAAAATCTTCTGTCTTCTTCTAAGCTTCATCATGTTCAGTGTAGTAGAGCATATTATATGATATGAGCATTTTTGTTTTGTTTTTTACTTGTAATTCTGACTAATTCCAATCGGTAAAACAGAAAAGAAAAAGTTTAGTTTATTTCGTTTGGGTACATGACAATACATATGAGAAAATAATAATTTAATCCAACTTCATTAAAGAAAATAGGTCAAGCCTGCTAATTCATGAAAAGTAATCATTGTGTTTTGAATAGTTGCGGTAATGTGGTCTACCAAGGCAATATTAGAAATAAAACACGAAAACAAAGGCCAAAAATAGGTACCGAGATCAGTTTTCCAGATTAGACAAGATCCTGTACCTCGATATTCAACTTTCCTGATGTTTGAATAATGCTTCAATTTTAGTTTCGGTTGTAATAACAACCAGATGGAAGACCAGTTCAGTGTTTATCTCATTAATAAGCTCTCTAGGATGGTATAAAGATTCCTCCTTTATGGAGTTCACCTCTAAACCTTTACCTTCATGTAGAACATGAAGACCTCGGCTGCCATGCTCATCTCCAGAACCCTGTGCACGATCAGCTTGCAGAAAGCCGCCAGCAAATTCCTTCTTCTGTGAAGGTCCTCCAGCCTCTCCTCTTCAGAGTTCTCACCGGCTGGGGGAGAGCGTGTGGGGGCAAGACGGGTGATTAATTACGAGAAATCAAACGAGAGACAGAAAAGAACAAAGTGGAGGCCTGATGGAGTGTTTCGGTTAGTTTCGGGACAATGGCTTTAGCAGGTGGAAATCAAAGATAACATCAGACTGGAGTTATGCCTGCGACTGCATGTGGCTTCAATCTTTCGCGAGGCTAATAAAAAATTTGGTTTAGATTTTAAAAAGCTCGGAGCCAAGCCAGAGTTAAAGGGATTTTCTCACGGAGAGAGATTGGCCTAATTTTATGATCTAAACGTGTGCCCTTGCCCTCCGAGTGATCTCTGATCCTACGGTTAATAGAAAACGCTGCCTGTGTAACAAAATCCTGACCAGACCCATCCAATAAAACAATATCTTTTTCATTACGTGTTCAAAAACCAATAATCCTGTATTGTATTTGCTTGAGCGTTTAGAAGAATCCCGGCGGGATAGTTATTAACTTCACCGGACTCTCCGATATTTCGACGTTTGCAATGATTCTGCGAGCGTAGCAGCTATTGAAAAAAGATAATAAAAATGTGTTAGTGACAGTCCACAAAGTCAGACATTTACCTACGGGACTTTGCAAAGACAAGAGCCCTTTTACGCAGTTCCCCCCACGTCGCTCTTGTTTTCCTCATTAGAAAAAGCAGACGCCGTCATCAGTTTACAAGCTGCGTCGCTTTGCGTAACAAAATCCAACACGTTTCCATACAAATCAGTCAACCTGTTTCAGTTGGAGGAAATTAACAGGGCTTCCTTTTGTGATTGGGGGTCAACTGTCAGGTCAGGCTGGGAATGGGAACGCGTTTACGGTAACCGGGCACCTCGGAGGGGACTTTTGGAGCAGGGCGCAGGGCCACGCATTTAATATCTGCATGTTTCTGCCATAAATCCCCGCGTGGATTTATTGCCTCTCTCTCCGAGCGGCTGCAGAGTGACGGCGCCACCTGCTGTGGAGCGCTGTTACGTACCTGCACTTTACTTTTCTGCAGTTTACTCCCTGTTCAGAGTTTAGAAGTAAAAACAAACAAAGAAAAAGGAGCCAGCACTTGTCCTATGACACTTTTTATGAGGGTTTTGTGCTAAAAATAAAAAGATAATTCACGGGTCCTCTTTCCATGTCTGAAACGCCAGTATGTGCCTACATAGTTCCACAAAAAAATACTTTATTTTCAGATTCTTTCATTTGATAGTCGAGTATTTTGCAACCAAACCTGCTTCTGTCTAGCACCATTCATCCCTTATGGCTCCTCACACTCATCTCTAACAGATTTTAATGTGACTCCACTAAAAGTGCTCCTCCATCTGGAGGAATTCCATCTCTTTTAAAATCAAATGCTCCAGTACAATTACATTTTGTTGTATTCAATTACATTTTTACCCCCATAAAAAGCTAATGCCTAATGTGTTTTCCACCACAACAAGCAGAACCAGATTTCCTTCCTGTAAAGTCAAGCTATTGGTCTCAGTGTGACTCAGTGAAGCACCCTAACTTGTGAGATAGGCTGCATACTATCTATCTTTTGGATTAGCTTCCAAAATATTTTGTTGTTTACAGTCACAAAGTTGCCAAAAGTCATCCTGATCTGAAGGGGAAGTTCATGTTTAGAACGTTGGGTCGGTTAGATCTGGCCCTGAGCTGAAATGGAGAAATCGTGACTGAGGTCTCACCCTTGCTTTGGCTGTCGCAGTCGGAGCCGAGGAAGACGTGCGCGCACACGAAGGTGGACAACGCCCTCTGCAGTTTGGGACTGGGCGTGTACAGCAGCGGCCCGAAGCAGGCCGGATCCCACAGGTGCAGCTGGTACGAGTGGGCCGACAGGACGTCGCACACGCCCAGGAAAGCCTGACAACGATAAAATGACAGTGAGGTTCCAGAGGCCCGGAGCGAGAGGGTCGCTCTGCCGCCGCGCCGCTCGCAGCCGTACCTGATCCCTCACGCTCTGGCTGCAGTGGGAGAGGCAGCACTGACTCCTCTCACAGAACAGACGCAGCTGCTGCCGCTGGGCCACGGCCTTCTCCTAAAGCACACAAATTAGGCGCAATGACATCTGGGAATGGGTCAATATTTAATCTTTTTATAAGTAAACAGTTGAATGAAGTCAGGTTTTATGCATTTTTTACTGACAATCAAGTTTTAAGAACCAAATGATGGATTATTCAAAACATTTAACTTAAAACACACACACACACATAAATACATATATACATATGATATTATGTATATATGTACGTACTATTTTATACTATTCCTACTATAAATGTAAAAATTTGCTTTCATTTAAAAATATTAAACTTTTCCTTTACTTGATTCTGTTTATTTAGAGTCATATTATATGTATGTGCAGTTTGAATCAAAAATAAAACTTTGTTTAAAAAGTGAATTGCCCCAGGAAGTGACATGGTATTCAGATAAAGCTTGGACAAACCCCTGGTATCAGCGGTCATACTTGAAGTAAAAGGGGTCAAGCGGCTACTCCAGATTAAGGAGGAATCCTCTAAATCTCTGTCATGTTCAGAGAAAATGAACCTCTTTCGCCCCATTTAAGTCTGTACATCTATCGTAGAAGCCACAGAAGTGGTATTAGGGGCAAAATCTTCATTCGGTTCTATATTTTTTCCTGACAGTTCTGCTAGGAAAATACAATATAGAGGCTTTTGCTCTGTCTACTTTCTACACGTCCTTGAAGCTTAGAAACATCAGCTAAGTTTCAGAAAACCTTGGGCAGAGTGAGTAGCACCAAACAGACGCTACTCACTCTGCTGCTCAGCGTTTCGCTGCTCGTGTTGAGAGACCAGAGCACGGCGAAGGACGCGCACTGCAGCACCTCCGCCAGCACCTGCAGACAGAAACGGACAAAGGAATGAAGGTGTACTCGGCCCAAAGGTAAGAGGAGAATCATGGTCCCTTAATGGTACCTCGGGCGGTGCTTCTTCATGGCCGCTCTCGGCTGATAGCAGAGGAGAAAGCAGGTCGAACAGACGCCACTGACTGAGGTCGTGACAGCTAACAAAACATGGAGAAAAACATCCGCAGCGCTTAGCCTTTTTTGGGAATAATGAGTCAGCTAAACACAAATGTAAAATCTTACTTGTGGAAAGCTCCGAGCTTCTTCAGTGTTGCTACTATTTCTCTCGTCTTTTCCTCGTCAGCAGAGAAACTCTCGCCCTTCAAATGAGAAAAGGAACCGTTTTCTTATCTTGTTAAATAAGATTCATTTATATTTCACACCAAAAATAAGTCTAATGCTCTCTAAGGTTCTGTTGGACAATATTGATTATGGCTGGCATAATTTCTGTGATCTTATACAACTTCCATCTTTTTTCTATCCGTCTAAAGCCCTCTTTTGGATATATACTGTAACATCCCCTCACCCTGACTGAGTCGCCCAATAGTTCTGCCAGTTGATCCACCCATCGCTGGACCAAACTGTCTCTGGCGGCCCTCGCTGTGGAGCACCAGGCTGCCTCTCCACCACACAGGCTGAGGTATGAGCGGGCCGCTGCCTCCAGGAGTGCAGGGCTCGAGTGGAGGTCCAAAACAGCTGCCATCTCTGCCATCAGGCTGGAAACCGCCTGTAGAAAGGACCACACCTCTGATATCTTACTTCTGTTTTGTTGACAACCTATCATTTAAGGCCATTAATAATACTGAAAAGAAAAAAAAACAAAGAAAATGTTCACCAATTATATTCAAAGATCAATCATTTTCATTGTGTACTGTAGTAGACACACCAAATACCAATATCTTTCCACGCCTATTAAACATTAGGATGGTTTCATCTTTAACTTTGTGATTACTATTATTAACCCTCCTGTTGCTTTCAGGTCCGTTTAACCCATCTAATTAGTTACGGATTGTTCCAAAATTCGCCATGTGTCTGTGATGGTACTTTAATATGATCCAAAGCCTCTAAACCAAACTATTGTCAAAATATGTAATCATTCCTGCTGTTTGAGGTTAAAAAATTTTGGCGTGATTTAATATAAAATTGATTTAATAGACCACATATTGCATATTGCAATTAATTGAAATTTGAGGTAATGTGTCAGAATCAAGTCAACTAAAAGTCAAACAAATAAAAAGTGTAGAAACTAGGTGCTGGACTAATTCCTGAATAAGTTCTAACTGCGTAGCAGAGATGTTTTTAATGACCTCTTGTTTTTTAGGAATTGCTTTAACAATTTTTTATTTTCCTATTTTCCATTGCATCCTGCACAAGCTGAAAGCAGCTGATCATACCTGTGTGTCTTCGGCCTTTGGACATTCTGGGAGGAAGTACTGTGGGATCCTCATCAGGGAGGCCACAGTGTCACAGCTACACGAGAACTGCTCAAACAACATGACAGAGAAGACACCAACAAAATGACAGGAACAGATTTAACTGTGCAGCACAGATATCTGAGAACAGAATCACAAAGACTTAGTTAGTCATAGTTATGTGCAGAATAAATACCTTGGAAAGCAACTTAGGAAGCACCACGAGGAAATGATCGGTGATTCTTAGACATTCGTCGATTTGATTTTTTTTTTCTCTGACGTTCATTACCTGTAAAAACACAATAGCTTGGTGCTTTTTTTTTTAAAGTGATTCTCCAATCGTCCGAGTCGTTATCAGAACTGCATAATTCACTGACCTTCTTTGCCCCGCTCCTCCCGGCGAGTGCCGGTCCCTCTGAGGCCTGACGCACAGAAGCCACCAGTATCTCTACAAGAACGGCTTGTTCTGCTGGGGTAAAACCTACAAACAGGCTTTTTTAAATGACTGATGCAGATTGTTTGTCATGTAAGCAGTGAGAAAACAATATAAACACAGAAAGAGGTGACAAAGACCTGCAGCTATCACGGAGGTTGTTCGATAAAAGTCAGATTTAAGGTTATTATGTCCAAAAACCACGTTAAACTTTATAGACCCACAAAAATGCTTTGAAATCAGCTCTTTAATTAACAGGAAGCCAGTGTGGAGACCTCAGGACAAGAGAAACTGTTTGGGGGATTTTGTGAGGTTTGCGCTTTTACGCTCATCTAATTATTTTAAATTAATTTATCTGTATCCAACATTTTTAGGCTACGGCGTAAATTAAAAGCAGCATGCTAATATGCGTTTCTTGTCCATGTTAGCCAGCCATAACTGCTTTATGTAAAAATAATGGACACCCGAAAGCTAGATCCACAGTGTGCAGATCCACAGGTACCATTTCCCTGTCCTAAAACATCTGATCCAGGACCCAAGTCACTGAATCTTTGGATGCATGTCAAACTTTCTTACCTGGACTGTGTGAGGAGGGTTCCTGCAGCAATGCAGATGTGAGCGTGGGCCAGTCTTTCAGTACAGCTCCTCCACAGTCCCACAGACTGTCCACCAAGTACACAACATGCTTGTGCAACTGAAAACGTGTACAGACAGACAAGTTAGTCCAACTCACATAGGGCACACTATCAGAACGTTTTCTCAGCTCAATACAGAACACTGAACTGAAACATCTGGGGTTGTTTCACCTGTGACTCCTCATAGAACTGGAGCAGAGCCTTCAATCTGGAAAATGCTTGTTGTTTGTGTATCTCCTCTTCATTTAATTCATCCTGAGAATCAGTTGTAGGGGGAACAGCCTTGAGTAGCCTGATAGAGACAAACAGCCTCTGTAAGACTAGGCTTTTTGTTTATTTAACCCAGTGATTCCCAAAATGAGGGGCGTAACTACCGAAGACATGTTTCATTGTTAGCTAACAAAAAATACCATTTTGAACAGCTGCCAACAATATGACAATAACTGGTTTAACCCTACTGCCACGATAAAGTGCTTAAAATGTCAAAGTCCTACCCAAAGTAAATGTAATGCTTTCAGGTAAATACTTAATGCTGATCTTTCTTGTAAGCCAGAACTAAAAATGCTTTGTGGTAATGAGGTGGTTAGAACCGTCAACAAAAACAATGTACGGGAACTTTTGGAAGGATTTTGTGTAAGTGTGTGGGATTTTATAGGCATATTCTGTGAGACACATCCATGTTGGGTGTCCAGTGATTGCCTGTCGCTTTGGACCCGGTGATGGGCAAGTTCTGGGTTCACTGATGACGATAGTATGTATTCTAAGCCCGACCCAGTATGTGTACATCACCTTTTCTACCCCCTACCCCGAACCTGGGTTTGCATAACCTCCCCTTTGGGCTTTTACTGGTGCAGTTGGTCAGAGGCTGGGGTGGCTAATCTGTGCTTTGGTTTGGTTTGTGCCGAAGACAAACCAAAACAGTCATAGCGTAAATGTTGAAATTAGAATATTCACCGAGTCTGGTCCATTTGTTTGTAGCACAAGTTTCTTGTGTTTACTTTTAATTCAGTCACACAATATGGGCCAGAGGAGTTTCTGATGCCCAAATCAGTTCCCACAATATCAGGAACATCTCCCTCGCTCCCTACAGGGAAAATAAGCTCGCCAGGAAATATTTTGGGGCATATTTAGTTGCATGTTTATGGATGTGGATATCAGCCCTAAGTACAACCAGCTTAGCTGAGGATCTTAGCTTCAGGATGCATCGCTCTCCGGAAAAGTGGATACCCCAACAAAAATAGCCCTTTTTCATATATTTCACAGTTGGAAATAGCCACACCATTCCTTCCCCAGCTGCTGCTGACAAAAGCTGTCGCTAAACGTCCCTCTCGGCACCGCTTTCAGCCCTGTATCTCTTACCAGCTCCGGATAAAATGAGCCAGGCCCAAGCTCACACTGGGTGAATACCTGGAAGTGCTCATTTGTATGTTTTTCAAGTTCAGTTTATTTATTTCTATAGAGGATAAGCCCTTTGAGATGAACCATCCAAAGCCTTGTTGTTGTCATTTCGTGTTTTGATTGCTGGCAGTGTTTGCACATGTATTGAAACAGTTTTCATCAGTCAGCCTGCAAATATCTGAGCTTTTCAACAGCATAACGACTTTTAAAGACGTAAAAGTCTTTGTACCTTGAGAAGAGCAGCTCGCCAGCAGAAGCAGCGAGAGGACGCTGAGAGGCGTAAACAAACTGGAGGAGCTGCTTGTAGTCCTCTGGAGTGAGAACATCATCAGATTGTCTGAGGAGGGAAGAGCAGGTCAATGCAAGGAAGGGCAGAATGAGGAAAGAAAGGAATGAGCAAAAATCGGTGAATGCAACAAAGAAAGCTCACTTGGAGATGAATACCAGTAGTTTCATGGCTTGTAGAGCCACCTCATTGTCTTTATCCAGTGTCATGGAGATCATCCGGTTCTGGCACGAAAAAAGAGCAAACAGAGACTCAGCAACTACCTTCACAGCTATGTGGTTATTGAATATAATAAATGGCAGAAAACTTTTCGCAAGTTAAAGAACAGTCTCAGCTATAGTACTTAGCTAAAATGTCAGTGCGCTGAATTACCCTTTATTTAAATCGTAACAGTTAAAATGACCTCTGGCAGACTTTGAGTAGACTTTATTACCTTAAAGCGGCTGGTGAACAAGTCTAATTTAGGCAGGAGGAGAGGATCGGCGTACAAACCCTGCAGACCTAACACGCACTTGAGACGCACATCTGCTACCTGAAAGACAAGTTACAGAAGTATTTGGCTTATCTCCAGTTTAGGAGATCCCTAAAAGATGACATAATTTGCTTCAATCTTCAGTTTCAATTCAATGAACGGCAGTTAGAATTGCTTTTATATTGCCATAGAGTTTTTTGGCAACTTTTGTGATGCGGTCTACCTTGTCATTCAACATCCAGCCCATGTATTTGAGGTAACTGTCATTGAGAAACACAGAGCTGTATAGCTTCATCCACAAGCCCAACTCCTCCATACAGATAGAGCGAATTTCAGGGAGGACATCCCTGACAAATAACACAGCAAAATCAAAATTAAATTAATATTTAGGGTGAGACTTCAGCTGGAAAATACTTCATTAATAAATGTGATGAATAGTGCACCGATGTCTCTTGAGGAAAACTCCTTTGAAGATGACGTCCATCATGCCCTCTATTTCTGCTCGCTTCTCCTGCAACTGAACAAAAAGCAGAAGCGGGATGGCACGGACATTCAGGTTTCACTCATTCACTCACAAAAAGAAGAAAACCCTCCGAAGTCCCTCATAAAACCAGTTGACATGCGTCTTACTTCTCTGATCTTCCTCTGGATCCTATCCAGCTGCTGCGTGCTCCTCTGTCTCGCCGTCTTCGTCTTCTGGACATCGTACAGTTTCTGACTGTTTTCAACGCCCACGCTCAGGCTCAGAGCCACGCCCACCAGCGAGCTCAACAGCTTGGCCGCTGGTGCGCATGGAAGGAGAGAAGACACGCGTTGGCCCAATCGGTGCATTTAGGCGGCTCCGCGCGCATCCCCGTGCTCAGCCTCTCACCTGCCAGCGTGCACGTGTGTCTGAACGCTCGCACGTACGAGTTGGAAAGCTCGGTCAGCAGAGAGATGAGGGTGTTCATCAGGTAACTGTCGAAAATGACGCTGTGCTGACACTGGATCACGAGCACAGACAGAAAGTCACAGAACTCGGAGTGGAACCAGCGGCCCTGAGGTCCGGGCTGCACCAGGGGATAGTCCGCATTATCCTGCAGAGGAGAGGGGGAAACAGTGAGGACGAGGTTTATGCGGTACCATGACAGATGATGAGCATAGTTTGAAATAACCGGGTGTTCATACTGTTAAAATGTTCTGCAACTTTCCAACGAGGTTCAATGACTTTGGGATCATTAACATATCAAAGGACAAAGCACTGCCACACTCCCACAGCTAATATGGCTAGAATATTAAAACATCGAATCATTTCTAAATTATATTAACAAATCACGTTTGCATTGTACAAGTATAAGCGTGAAATAAAGCTGCAGAAATGCTAATTTTTTGGCTAAATAAAGGAATAGCGTCTCTCAGGGAACTTTTAAAGAATTCAGAACTAAATTAGTTTGATCAGAATGGGGCTTGTTTACAATCATCATAAAGAGAGACCAGTTTCATTCTTAGTAAGAAACTAAGGCCTACATTTTTGAAGAAGGTTAAAAATATGTAGAAATTTATCTTTTAGTGTTTTTCTTCCTCCACAAAATGGATATATAACTAATAATTTCGATAGACGGATGAATGTTGCAAACTGGACACCTGCACAAATATGATCTTGAAGAGTTATAGGAAGAAAATTGGATGTGCACAAAGTTTTGTATCAACAATTTGCAAATTCCTTTAAACTGATAAAAGCTACATTGAATTTGCAGATGTTTCTTTGAGGAAAAAAAAAGGACAAAAACAAAGAGAAGGGGATTGCTTTGTGCTTGTTATTTTGTTATTTACCTTTAATCTATCTAGGGTAAAAGAAATGATAGACAAAAACAGCCGCGTTAAAAAAAGACCCTGAAGTACCTTAAAAAACGACCGACCCATCAAATACATGATATTATAAAGAAAGAGCAATAGGTCAGTACTGACTGTATCCAGGGGCCATGTGACAGTGAGGATCCATGGAAAAGCCATAAACTTCTTATACTGCAGACCAGCGACCTGTAAAAGTGTAACACCACACCTTCAGTGTGAATATCTTTTTAAAAGGGGAGCATGAAAAGACACAGACAGACAGAACTCTTACCTCATCTAGCTCCTCCCCCATTTTACTCATAACTTCACCGTCCTCTTTGCTCTGACACATCTCTGCTGTGACCACACCTTTACAGCAAGAAAAAAAAAAGTAAACACACACAGTCACATGAGTGTATTGTGCGCTTGTGCGCGCATACGCATCCGCTTGCCTTTGCACCCACAACACTGGATGAAGAAGCTGATGAGATCGAGGAGAGAAGAGTCTCTGTCGGTGGCGTACGCCTCGATCCAGTCATCGATCACGGTCTGCTCAAGCATCAGAAAGCAAACAGTGCATGTGTTACCCCCCATAGTCAATTTAGTAGAAATGCAAGGATCCATAGCTGAATTCCCTTCATTTCACTCATACCACACCCTTCCTTATCCCTCAAGGGGTCAGGCACTGGGACATAAATCCCTCCGCTGGAGCAGATGGTGTGGTGGCCCACTCATGCCAGACAAAATGGATCAGCTTGCAGGAAGTATCACAAACATTTTAAGCCTCTCACTGGCAACATACATAACATTCCGTACACTTAAACAAAATGTTCTAAAATTCAGCAACTATTTTTTTTCCAAGACTGCGACACATGATCCTTGCCCAAAGGTATGCTAGGTCAAGGTGGTCACTTGACCTTTTTTATGAGTGTAAAAAAAATTCTTAAGATTCATAGTTTATCTGATTTTTAAAAGATAAAAGCTCAACAGGGCTTCTTTCATGGTGAAAAGCCTAATTAAATCAATCTGGGCCTACTTATGCATGTCTGAGTCAAACTGTATGCATCATGAGATCTCAAGCTAAATCCAGAACCTCTTAAAACTCTTTCTTTAACCAGTTCTATTAGAACAGACACCCGTGACTGAGCTCTGGCGTCCTACCTGCATGGCACTCTTGCCCATAGTGATCACCTCAAACAAGGTGACGGCCTCCACGTGTTTCTGTTTACCACGCCTGCCCCCGGCTTTGCCAGCACTGCTGCAGCTGGCTTTGGCCTTTCTGCACGTGGCATTCCCAGAGAATTGCTGCGCTCTCTTCCTCCGTCTCTGAAAGAAAAGATCAGGAGAACAAGATGCGATTCAATTAAATGATATTCATATAACACCAGATCACAACAAATGTCACGTCCGGGCACTTGAAGACATAAAAAAGTGCCTGGAAGTTTAAAGCCAAACCTCCAGGCACTTTTAAAGCCAATTAGAGTTTGATTAAATGCAATACAATCAAAATCCAATTAACTCCAGCTCCTTAGATACTAAATTAGTCAATTTTATAAGGGAGGCTTTTTTTTTTTTAAAGTTGTCTCACTAAAGGAAGCTAGGGAACTGAAAATATTACAATTTCTGATACTTTTATTTCAGTTTCTTGTCTCATCTGAAAAATCTCAGCTGGGTATTTTCTCACAAAGTCAGCTTTTCTATTTGTCTAATCATTATTGATTTCAACCCTACAAGCACCCATAATATGCATAACAACCACACTGGGTTTCTTTTCATCCATTTATTTTTTAATTTCTTCTTTGAAAATGATCCAGTCTAAATTAAAAATTATTCAAAATGACAACATGTTCACGTTTTTTCGGTTTACCTGAGAAGTATAAGAGTGCCCCCCCTTAGGGTCCCTCTCCTCTACTTCTCTGCTTGTTCATTTCCTCAAAGAACCACCTGAACGAGCATCTGCGGATTAAAACCTACCACGCTTTTCTGTCGGTTCTCGTTCCCCGAGTCATCTTCCGAATGATTGACGGCTCCGGAAGAAGTTGCCTCCACCTGAGAGTTTGTACTGGCAAGCCAAACACATGACATGTAAAGACAGGAAAAGGAGAAGAAACTGCATCTTCAACTGCACACAAGGCCATTGTACTTCTGCTCTGAGGATCTGGTTGCGGCTGCTGCTGAGGGCTCTGGTATCATGTCCTCCTCAGATCTTCACGCAGGACTCAGGTGCCTGTCAGCATCTGCACACAAAAACACGTTTGACGTTCAGCAGGTTGTGGGTCTCTGTGTAAAAAATCCCCCCTCTTTGAACCTCCCTCTGCTGGGAGGAGCTGGTATTTTGGTTGCTCAGAGACACTTCGGCACTGTGGATGTTTTGGCGCCACGAGGGGTTGAACTTAACACGTCACTGTCCTGACACCAGGTCGAGTTTATTTTTTAATAAAATACTAAATGTGCGTGAAGTTTTAGTTAGTAGACGTTAGCGGCTTGTTAGGTAGAGCAAAACTAGCCGAGATTAACATTAACATGTGCATTAAAAAAAATTACTCATTCGGAAACTTGTCGGACTTACCTTCTTCGCGTAAATTCATATTTTTAATTATGTTTACTGCTGCGTGGCTCCCAGTCCTCGGGCTGTCAGACAAGCATAACTTAAATGTTTTCTCAGACATACCCAGTCTGTGCCCCAGCTCTCACAGTCAAGTTTGTCGGACAGCCTAACCCCTCGTGATTGGTTGGCAAGTACAAAACAAAATGCGTGATTGGGTGTTCTCAAACGTCACTCACCGTTTTAAGTCCCTCCCCTGACGGCTGTGAGAGACGACGGGCAACGTCCTGTTTCGTTTTCCGCTGTCACAGCGCTTTAAACATCTGTATGAAAAAGCTAAAGAGACGCAGTAGAGTTGAGCTAGTTGGGTTGCTGAAATACAGTGAAAGTTATTTAAAAAAAAAAACAATAATATAACAAGTGCATATCCTTTTGAACAATGTATTTGTCAAGGCGTCCTGATGCGTCTTATGTCTATTTCTATTAACCGACCGGTTGTTTGGAGGTGTTATTATTTCCAGATTCAAAATCTTACAACAACTGAACGGCAGGAGGAGCTATTGAGCTATTTATTCACTATAAGAACATTGCCAAAAAGGCCACTATGGACGGACGTGGAATAAGGAAATCAACCCTATAATATAGTGTTTAACCCACTAGCTCCCATGATTAGAAATGTTTTCATTTAATTTATTAGAGACAATTTTCACCTCTCCACAGAGGAATTGACATTTTATCAACAACTGTTTTATATTTATGTCCATTTAAAATGATATCGAGAGATTTCCTTGAATCTTGTATAGCTATACAGAAAAAGCAGGGCCCAGTTTTGCTTATTTGCCCCTTCTTTGCTTTGGTGAGTTTGCATTCCACGTGCTGTAATTTACGAAGCTTCACATCAGACAGCACTGCAGAAAGAAGTCTGACCTGTTCAGCAGAAGTCTACGCTATGTCAGCAAACAAAGCTACACCAGACAAATTAGATAAATATGATGGTTCCTGTTCTTCAAAATGTAGATGCTGAGGTAGAATTAAGTATATCTATGTTAGCCCTTAACTTTAGCTGATTCTGTTTGTAGGCTTCTCAAAATTCAGACTAATTTAAATGATAACCACATTAATGTGTTAATCTACAGGCCCTGCCGTTATTGGCCATTGTAGTCACCACAGAGACTCAAACCTTTGGATATCCAGACCAGATCTTTTTCATCCTATCACAGCAGTGTGGATCAAACAATAAAACAGGAAGATAAAAAAATATAAGTGCAGCAAACCTATTGTTTGTCTGTGAAGTGTCTGGGAAAGTTGGAAAGCTTTTCTCAAACATAACATTTTGGATCCAATCTTAGGACCCAACAATCAAATTACTTTAAAACGTATTCTATCCATCCACTGATTTTCATTAGTTTATATGAGGTTGGGTTGTGGAGGCAATAGGTTCAGCTCTGCGTTGTCTCTCCCAAGCTCCTTCCGGGGGATCGGAAGGCATTCTGATCCAAAGAAGAGGCAACTAGGGAGCATCTGACAAGCCCCCCCTGAAACATTCCAAAGTAAACATTCCCAGGGAGGATGAGCTGTGTCTTCCAACTACAAGAGGAAGTTGGAACACACTTCACACTTACCCATCCCTGACTGTAAAAATGGGAACTACTACTCCTGTCGGCCATTACAGGACAGCCTAAACATGTCAAGAGACTTCATCTCAGGTTACAACTGCTTTACTAACAAACTAAGGTGATGAACAAGGCTCACCCCAAGTCTTCAGTGGAGGAAATTGTAGCTAGTCTGAGGAAATCCTTAAAGTCACACTACCAGTCCACGCTTACAAAAAGCTCACCAGGTCTATCCAACTGTCTTCACCAACAAAGGATCCAATTCACCACCCACGTTGGCCTGGTACCGAATACAGTCATGAACCCCCTTAAGATCAAGCATTTTGTTTATAATGGATAATGTAGGGTTAGCGCAGAAAACAAAACACTTCTTGGATTTAGACTAGGGAGGCCACTTCTCCCAATTACATTTCTCCAGGTCACTCTATCATTGCTAACGTGGGCATTGAAGTCACCCAGTAGATAATATATTCTTATATCAAGGTTTTTTCTTACACAATCAAATGCCTCTGAACGAGCAGTTCGTTGCTAGTAGCTCAGAGTGGCTCCCCATATCTCACTTTGGTTTAAATTATATCTATTTATTTTCCTTTTTTTTTCTTCTTTTTTGTTTTATATTAGTTCATAATTTTTTTGTGACTCCATCTTTTTTTTTCTTTTTCTTTTTTGGCTATTTTTGCATCGCACATCTAACACATATCTTTCCATTATTTTACTCATGATAGATATACTGTGAGTTTAAGTCTTTTTTATTTATTTCCGTGTTTCTATGTGGTTATATATATTTACATGCTAGTGTCCTTTGTATCTTTTCATACATCCACAAGTTTTTAATGTACTTTGTTTGTGGTCGTTTTATGTCTCTTCCATCTCCTCTTGGAATCTGGTTTTATCTGTTTCCTAACTGACTATAAGCTATCATCAGACAAGGGCATAAATACGATCTATTTTCTATATTGCTTATTCCCAACGCTGTCGCGGGAGGGCTATAGCCTATCCCAGCCCGGGAAAAATGTTGCCACCTTTCATGTACATATTCTGGATATGACTGCATTTACACGATGTATCCAACCTGCCTGAAGCAAGGCTGTCAAAAAACTAAGTGAACACAGCGTCTCATAGCATCCCCTTTATTATTATTCCCCATTAATCTTAAAAAAAAATCTGTTTTAACAGTAGTGCAAGGAGGGATTCCACACGCTAACATTCAATCATCATCTAACAACAAAAAGGGGGGGGAAAAAACATAGTATCAGGAAGTGTAAATAAACTTGTCCATGACCCCCATTCATCAGTATTCAGTTGAATCAAAATGTGTAGCACCTTTTCACAGTCATATTATTATCAGTTCATTGGGAAGTAGGTGTGTCCAGGAGAAGCAGGGCCTTTGTTGGCAGGGTCAGGATAGGAACTGAGACACGAAGCTGATGGCAGGGTGGAGGTCCTCTGTCAGCTCCTCTGGCAGCGACAAAACCACTGACGTTAAGCTTTTAGTTATGTGTAATATCCTGTGCAGACAAATGAGACGCGTTTTAACTTGATTGCTTCTGTATTCATGATTGGGACATTCTGATCGGGGCTCACCAGTTGATATGTTGGGCAGCCAGCTGAGGTTCGTGCCTCTGACCTTCCTCGGCCACCAGAGAATGCTTAATCTGTTTGAAGTTAGCCTCAATTTCCTTTTTTATTTCCGAAAAGACCTGAATTCCCTTGAAGGAGCTAATGACTTGCTGCAAAACACAAGCATCAAAGAGCATGCAGCAAAGTTAAAAAAAACTAAGGGAGCATTCAAAAAGGCACCATAAAAGAGCAAATCCACTCTCCTTACATATATAACTGACAGCTGGTGGGCAATGTACTTATGACTTCCGAGGTGTCTGATGTCTTCTTCCAGCTGCTGACTCAGCACTAGCAGCTGGTTCAGTTTGGCAATATGGAGGAAGTATTCTGCAACAGAGCCGTCAGCTTTCATCAGAGGAGGCATAAGTGGACAGAAGGTAAGTCATTTGTAATATAATAGGGATTAAAGGTTTGAGAGTCATTTGAGCTTTCAACACTTTGACTTGAGAAATGATTAGCTTTCTCCAAGTAGATTTTCTTTAAAAAAAAAAAAAAACTGCACTTTTGATTTAATTGATTTAGTTTCTTGAAGGCCCTAAGACTCAAATGCACTGTTTGTTTGTTTTATCACAAACATAAAACTTGAAATTGAAAACAAAAAGTACTTTTTTGCTTTTGAAAAACATGAAGAATAACTCAACTGTCTTCTGGTTTGTCCCAATTAATATTTACCAAACTTGTACACTTTTGCTCTTGGAGAGAACTTTGTTTCTCAACTTTTTTTTGCTGGAGCCAAAGCTTATATTTTCATTATTATACAGTTTATGAGCATCGATCCTGCTTTACTGCCCCAGGCATTTTGAAGGTCTTCATTTGTTTTTCTGGACAGTCATTTGCTGCTTAGTCATTCATTTTCTGTTAGATTATTTTAGCTGGCCATGTTCAAAGGTAAGTCTTATGTGAGAAGCTATCTAATAGTGATCTAATAATCAAATAAAAAGAGACACCATACCCTGCGTATAGTGATGAGCTAGTGCTAAGTTTTCACAAAACTCTGCCTTAACAAAACACTCATTTCGAATGGTCTTGTTATGTAATTTTCTGCAGCCTGGATGAATAATTTAAAGATGCAAAAGAAAGTAATGTTTGACATAAAATCTATTTTTCTGTAACAAGGTTCCCTAAGAACTACTTCACAAAAACTTACATCAGCATAGCGCGTAAAAGCTCTAATATACATATGGTCTACTTCTGACTATAAAGTGCTTATAAGATATAGAAAGGTTTTGTTTCCAGAAATCAATTTTTGTTTTCTACTTTGCCTTAAAGTAATTTCTCACTAAGAAAAAGCCTTGGTTGTTTAGTGTTCATTTTCTGCTGAGTTTGATCTTTTCGTAGGTGTATCTCTCACCGTCCATCTGTGGCCTCTCCAGCATGTCGACAGGACTGCCTTGAATAAGGAACACCTCTACACGAGGAAACATGGCCGACAGACCCACCGTGTCCAGATAATCCTGCGGAAACACACGCCAAATTATTTCTGATCGCATGACTCACCGTCAAAACTAGACGTTCTGCATCCAAATGCGAACCGTACACCGCTTTTCTTTACAATGCAGTCAGATGTAATACCTCCAGTTGTGGCATAGGCTTTGGTAGATGTTCAAGGCACTGTAGCATCTGGTCAAGAATCTCTGATCCTTTAATAATACAGAAAAAAAGACATCAGGCAGACAGATGCCATCAGATATAGACAAAACCAGATTTTTTCTTTCACACCTTGAGCCTGGAAAGTGTCTGACTCCTCTGGGCTACAGCCTTGTCCTAATTGCTCCTGGAACTGTAATAAAAAGATGACAACAAAAAAAACACTTTCACATTAAAACACATTAGATGGGGATGGTGGATGTGATAAGGAGCACAAAACTTTGCCTTTCCACAACAGATAAACTCACTTCTACTTGAAACCGGGTTAAACCAATCAACTGGTAATGACTAAAACCCAGAAAAACAAGGCCTACGTGTCTTTGGACGTCATATTTAAACCAGTAATGGTTGTCCTATACACCTAAGGAAGACACTGACTATTCATGGTATTCTCTACAACATAATGGTGCTTTTATGAGATGGATGAAAAGGAAAAGAAAGTGGAGGGGACGGAGTTGTGTGGCCAGCAGTGGAGGGAGTTATGGCAGGTGACCCTACCTGCTGCATCTGTGCTCTGATGCAGAGGTCCAGCTGTCCACAGAGACACAGCATCTCCAGGCCCACCTGCTCGGGGCTCAGCCGGACGGGCGTCAGGGGTCTCCTCACCTGTAGCTCCACTGACAACAGCGATAACAATGGTGTTCACCTTTTAACCTCACCCATTGCAATGTGATGTCATCCCGTTTGGGGATCCAGAGATGGGGGGTTTGATCAGGACCGGTCAGGGGAGCGGTCAGAGAGAGATTGTGGCCGATTACTGAAATCAGATCCAATGCAAACGTCAAACAAACATAAATAAAAAGCCAAGGGCTTACCTTTAAAGCCTTCGTGGTAGATGCAAGGCTGACAGAGTGGCTCCGATATGCTCACTGCCATATCTGACTGCGGCCGGGTGCGATCAGCGCATCTGGTCTTTATTTCGTCCTCCTCCTCAAAGCCATAGATGTGACAAAAAAGCGCAGGCTACACGCTAGGAGAAGCGACGGAATATTTTCTGTTTATGTCTGCATTTCGGCTGGACGTAGTTTTCGAAGGTGGTGCGTTCGCGTGTCAAGCTCTCGGGCGGGTGGACGATAAACGCGCGGTCGGCGTTTCCCCGTCGGTGACGACGCTCACACGCAGAGCACCGAGACATCCTCACGCCCAGGAGTGTCCATGCAGCTAACTTTAAAGACAAGAAAGAAAGAAAAAAAAGCGATTACAGCGCCGGCGAGGACAACACGCCCACGCCCCAATTTCACGACAGCCGAGTGGTCTTCTGTTGTTGTCGAACTCCGGTCTTGAACGCCCCTCTCCGCCTCGCGCTGGAAGAGGACGAGCAGTTTGCGATGATGTCATGTTTCAGGGATCACAGCATCACTTGGCGACGACCAAACCCCAAAAGCAGAGCTGTTCCCTGCAGATTGTCCGAAACATACTTTTTTACTGATGATCAAGTATTGTACTGAAGTTCAATTTAACTACCAAGTTTACTCACTATTATTTGTACCCAAGTCAGAAGGAATAACTCTGAATTCATCTGCAACATGTCGAATGATGTCTCAGAGTTCAAAGATTGATTTTTTATTATTATTGTGAGGTTATTCAGTTCCAAATTTATAATTTCTCTTTCACTGATAGTGTTGTATCTGTATAAAATAGCTGTTTTATTCAATCTATTCTTATATCCTTAAGTATGCAATTAAACTGCTTTTTGGATGTTTTTTTGTGGTCAACTTTATGAATAGCTGCTATAAATATGAAATGGTCCTCTTCAATCTCAAAAACAGTGTGGCATGCAAAAGGTTTGGTCTGGTCTACTGACCTATATAATATTGAACATCTGTGAATAAACACCAAGAATAGTGTGAGCAATACAACCCGGGAGTTTAACAGAACTAGAGGACTTTTGGGAGGAAGAATGGGGTGAAATGCCTCAAGAAATGGAAGACTCTTGGCTTACACAAACAAGCATTTACAAGCTATGATACACACTAGAAATGCGATCCCCAAACGTTTGCTGTCCCTTTTTCCATTCCCGTTAATTTTGAAGTCGTAGAAAATGAAAATAAAACATGATTTTGCTTAAAATGTAACAGGACGCTTAATGCGAGACATCTTTCCTCTTGGAAGTCATTTAAGTTTCTGCTAGTTTAATTGTTCACAATAACAGAAATTTTGACCCAAAATTGTGCATGCCACTGTTTGCTCTTTATTTCAGATTAGTTTTTGCAACAAAACAGTGCATTAAACCTGCTGGAATTTAAAAGTCCTGATGTTTGTGTTCATCGATATCAAATCAAAGTTACACTTGATGGAGGTTTGACTTCAAAGTTCTCATGTAGTAACAACTGTGTTGAGTTTGCAGCTTCAAAATAGGTTTAGAGTGTCTACATAAAAAAGTACTATTTTTTCTGTCAGTGGAAGATTCTCAAAGCACAAACCAACTCTGGGCTTGGTTTATTAAATAGCAAAGTCAGACCAGATGTCTTCATTTCTCCATCAGGATTCAAAATGTACCTTAATAAAAATACAACTGGCTTATAAAGTTTGTCACAGTTTTACAGTATTGAAAGATAAACTTTGAAATAAAAAAAGCAGAAATATGGACAAAGTCAAGGCAAGGAGACAATTAAATACTGTGCTAAGGATCTATCTCCTGATACTACAATACTATCAGTCAGAGAAAAAGGGAGAAGAAAACAAAGAAAAGACAGCGCTCTCGCAAAATCTAACAAACCTCATTCTTTTCCACAAGCAAATATACAACAATGTACATATTTTTGTAAACAACCTTAAGTTTCAATAGATTATCTTGTTTACAAGTGCACCTGGAGGAAGAAAAAAAATAAAACATTTATATCCTTTTGCATTCAATGCTGACATCTTTCAAAGATCTGCCTTGACTGCAAATCAAATAAAGACCCTGTGGCTGACAACTGTACAAAGTTTTCTTCCTTTCTTAAAAGCAGTTAAGCGTCGGGTCAAAAAGGTTACAGCCGTGGAGGAGAGACATCAACAGCTGCTGCTCTCGTGTTCTGATAGCTCGGGCATGCTTCCTCCACCGTGGAAAGAGTTTCTACTGTCGAGTGCCGGGAGGTAGGGTGAGGTTGGCCATCAGCTCATGAACCGATGCGAATATGGTACACTCGCCTGTATGAGAAAAGAACGTATCGGGTGGTCAAGCAAGGCCGTGTGTGTTGACTCGGTGAATTATTCGGTGTCAATCGGCTGTGAGTGCAGTCTCACCAGGCCTGGCTGGGTGGAGCTCGTTGAACCTCTTGAGGATGTTGGAAACTATGAGCGCCGCCGCCCCAGAGGAGCTGTGTTGCCGGGGGATGTCGGCCTGCTGGGTTAGGCCTGTGGCCATGTCGTACACGATGGGCACGATGATGCTCACTGGCTCCTGGGGCACTGGGATACGTTGGGTCAGCTGCAACTGTCGGGCAAATCGGAAGCAAATACAGAAAAAAAACATCAGGGCAATCCCAACATACCCGGGCTCGGGTGATTATTCAAGTTGTGGCTACAACTTACAAAGAAGAGCATCTTTGACTTGAGTACCACAGCAATGGTCCCAGGGGGTGCAATGGGAGGAGCACTGGGAGGGATGGTGAGACAAAACTGGACATTCCACTTGAGCTGTCCTGCCTGGTCTGGATACTTCAAACACAAAAGTGACACAAGGAAATGCATCATGAGATAATGCCAGGTTGCATAAACCTATATATTTTTTGCCATTATTGATCATTTTCTAAAGTATTATCTGTCAGTTGAAGGCTTCTAAAATTCCTTTTTCTTTTGTTTTTACGGTTTGTAGAAAAATGCAAACAAAAGGGTAACAAGTTTCATAACTGGTGAAACAAACCCTTGTTCTAGAGACACCTACCAGTTCAAGCTTCATGATGCGTACACAGTCCCTCAGGATGTTAGTTGGTGCCCCCAGCAACTTTGTGAAGGCACTCAGAGTGTTGAATTTGAATGGAGGACCGGCAACCTAGAAAAGTAAGATGGATTAGAAATATTATCGGGTTAAAACATGTTCCTGCGAGTGGTTACTATGGCACAATCTTCTTACCCAAAACAAAATTAACTGAATATCTCGATAACACTAAACTGCTGAGAAAAGTTGACCATGTTTCCACACTTTAAGGGATTTGCGTGCGAGATCCCTTTGGGCTTGTAAAATGCCTGTTGTGTTTACTTACTCTGGTCTCAAAGAACCTCTCAAGAACTTGAAGTTCCTCCTGGGACCAGGGACCAGTGTTTTCTGGAGTGACTTTGAGCTGCAGCGTCTGGTAATTCTTTGGATTGAGAGCCACCCGGCACTTGAGCACATCCGTCTTGAACATGATGACCCCTGGCTCATTCGAGTTCACGATGGACAGCTGACACGGGATCGGGTGGTTAGTGGAATTCCGGAAAATGGCGTGCTGCATAAGAACTGGGTCTACTTATCGATACTTACATTCGCCTCCTGCTGGATGATCCTCTGCAGGTGACGTCTCATGATAACTGAACCGAGAAAGCGCTCCAGTGGTGAGCAGAGGTAGCTTCCTGCCAAGCCTGGCAACAGGCTAGGAGTTGGCGAGGGGAGCAGGAGCCTATGCAAGGCATTGTGGGTGAGAATGGTAGGAATGGAAGCAGCCCAGGGGCGCTGAGGTAGCTTTCGAGGTGGAGGCATACTGGTAGGCATGACTTGGGAACCTAAACCAGAGACAGAAGAGTACATTAAAAAATAAATTTAAAAAAAGGATAAATGTGAAGACTGACCCCATCTGCAACAGTTTATGGCTAGAGTCATGGTAACAGAGAGTCATGATCCATAGGGGTGCATAAGCTAACAAAACTGGTAGTGTACCCTTCACTTAAGGGTAAAATATAACCTTTCTCCAACAAGTTGGTAATAATGATGATGAGTGTTCTACAGAGTCAACAGTTGAACCCTGCTGACAAAAACAGACTGCTAAATGAAACACGATTGTTATTTTGTTTAGTTTTTTTACATATTTGACATCATGTGGAGAGAAATCTGTATTGTATGAGGACTGAGACGTGTATCTGCGTAGGTGACGTGTAAACACGTCACATATTTTCTGCATGTCTGAAAAAAAGCCACCAGGCACATTAAGGGAAATTATCAATGTCTGAACAGTTGAACGCCACTCAAAAAACAGACTGGTGAAACGATAACGTAGTTCATCTAAAGGCTTAAAAGTGTCAACAGATAAAGAATCAATTTGACAAGCATCATGGCTCTGAAAAAGAATTGCCAACAGGTCAGTTTTTTTTCCTTTAAAATCATACAGAAGATCAAATTTATGTGAAGATTTGTTGAAAGAATATTGTGAAATAACTTACTCGTCATGGCACGTGGCGAATGAGGGTCAGGAATAGGTGAGGGCAGCGAAGGATTCCCAGGGGACATGCCAGGGATTCTGGCACCAGGAGAGGGACCTGAGACTTGAGGTGAGCCAGGCCACTGGCCCCTATGGCTTGGGGACACCATGGTGTAGGGAGAGCTGGGGTCCATGGGACCTAGGGCAAGGGAGAGTCGACCGTCTTAACATAATAGCAAACACAGATAAATACACCAACGTTTGCCCATGATTTAAAAGATGCGGAGGCTCAGAGACGTTCACTTCAGCCTGCCCTGGACCCCTGCCCCCCAGACCAGAATCACCACCAGGCCAGCATTCACGGCCCACCTGCTGCTTACCGTGGGGACTGGCAAAACTGGTCTGGCCCATGGCTATGCCCAGAGAAGATGGAGACGGGGTGGGCCCGAAAGGAGAGGGTGCCCTCAAAGCTCCACTAGGGGAGCCAGAGGCATGGATGTTCCCTGCACACACACACACACACAAGCACACAACACACACACACACACACACACACACACACACACACCAAAGGGCTCATCAGACTCTAGGGTTGACAACTGCACCTTGCACACATGCTCACACTCAATCATGTGCACAAAAGCCAATGCTGTCCGGAAGAGGGCTCTCTTCTGTGACTGGCGGGCAGGGATGGAGACCAATGGTATGCGCATGACTAAAAGCATGCTTTGTTTGTTGACGTAAGAAAAAAAAAAAGAAGATTCTAAGCTTTGCGAAATGAAAAAAATGGGCAGACATGATTGCACACACCCCGCTCCTGTAATGAATACGTGAGTGAGCAGAAAGGCCATCGACAGGGATGTCACATTTGTTCACAAAGCTGTATGAGACGTGGCACGAGATGACATTCGCCCACAAATTCTCCACAAACGTCATGCGTTCCCTTACCTGGTGACTGGGTGGGCATCATGGACGGCGAGGGCGTCACGTTGGCGAGATAATTCGGTGGTGGGGAGGTGAGGGATGGATACACGCCTCCAGCAGCCCCTCTCATGGTCTGCGGCTGCTGTGGGGCTTGCAGCTGGTTCATCAGACTGTCCATCACATCCACCCCCACCGGCGAGGGGGGGTTGTCATCTTCGTTGACCGAACGCCTGCGAGCGTCTTGATTGCTGTCCACAAACATGTTCAGGAATGTCTGTGGGGAGAAAAAATATATATGGGGGTAAAAAAAATAAAGAAAAAAGTTTCTAATGTATTTAAAGTAGCTAACAACATCATAGGTGTACAAACATGTCAGCCATCGAACATTTCAGATCTTTCTTTGCTCGAAAACAATTGATCGAGGTTTTGGATGAACTGAAATCCTTTCAAGCCTCCTATCTTGTTTTACCTTGAGTCCTGGAGCGGGGTAGAAGCCTTCGACAATCTTCGTGTTGTCAAAGAGACTGTAGGCTCCATCTCTAATGGCTACGACTCCTCGGCTGCGGCAGTAAATATCGATGCAGTACATGTTTCGGAACGCCAGTCGGATGTGTGTGGGCGACTGGGGCAGGATGGAAAAACACTGGTAGGCTGTGTTGGTGCGCTGGGTGAGGCCCAGCATGGGCACTGTTGGAAGCTTGTTGATTGAATTCAGAGGAGCCTGTGTGTCAGAGAGCACCTGGACACACAAAGAAGAAATTCAACAAAACACTGAGTAGAAGTAGGCTGTATATGTGTAGATGCATAAAAAAAGAAAAGAACATAATTATGCTTTTGAATATTTCTAGAGACACACAAGGGGTGTGAACCAAATAAACTGAGCATTACATATGTACGGAAAAGAATTTGGTATATTTAATTGATAAAATAATTTGTTTTTTAGGTCAATTTGTGGATTTATTCATATAAAAATGAAAACAATGACCTAGTTTTGAGTTAGTTGTTTGGTTCCCAATCTCCCCAGCTCTGAAGGTCCAAGAAATAAAAATGTTTAGGGAGGCTTCTAATGCTCAATGATATCATTCTTCTACTGAGTTCGACATAATTGTATTCATGGCCCAACACCTGCAATTGAGTCACAACCGATTTGCATTTTATCTGAACCCCTTTCTTCTTTTCTTGCTCTTGCAACATTTGTAACCAAAAACATATTGGGGTAGGTAATTATCTGAAGGTTAAGCAAGCACATTTCAGAGGAACCTTTGAGGTAATATACTATTGTTGCTGTACACATATCATGCTGAGGTATGTGCATTCTGATGGTTGTGTCTGTGTACCTGAAGCAGCTGCATCACATTTGGGCTCTTGTTGAACATCTCCTGTAGCTGGTGCAGGATGATGTTATGGCAGTTAGAGCAGCCCGAGTTGGGCCCCACTGTGCCCAGGGCGAGGTGGAACCTCTGGCTGCTGGAGTTCCACTGGATGGTGACAGAGCTGCCTTTGGTAGTGCCGTAACACAGCACCAGTTTACGGTAGTTATACAGCCGCACCTCCGAGAACAGGCTCAGATATGACGGCATTTCTATTGGAAAGGAAAGGTACATCTATATCAGACAGCATCGCAGATATATTACAAGCACTAACAAATATCAAATTACAAGACTTTAAGATTTTCCCGTCTGGGGGATTGTGGTGTTAACAGAAATTTAACCGATTAAAGTAGCTTTGAAAACCAGACATTTCGAACAATTGAGAGTCAAATCTTGCACTTACCTGGCAGTGCACGTGAAAAGTTGAGAACACACTGGTAAAGCTGACTAATGGCATTCCAGTCATTTAGAAACATCTCCACAACTTTCCGCCCACCAACAGGCTCCGACAGCGGGTTCTCATACGTCAGATACACATGCCGCGTGGAGGCTAATGAAACAAACAGATTCAATTATAGGAGCAATTTATAGGTAAAAGATTTAAACCTCGAGACGAGACCTCCTACATAAATAAATTACCACCTTTTTGGAAGGCTATGAGATGTGACGTACAATGTAAGCAGCCAAAACAAGCTTGTAAATATTTTTCTTGGATAAACTGGCCGTTTGGAATTTAGATTACAACCCTTTATGCTGTGTAAATGCCACAAGCCTCTGTGAGCGTCAAGTACCTTGCTCCTTGCTGTGCGTGCTGTTCAAAGGACAGTTTGCCAACACCAGTTCAGCCACCCAGGTTCGGTTATTCCTGCCCTGCAGGCGAAGAGTGCAGTCCAGCAGGGAACGCTCTAATGCCCTCCTGGTCTCTTCCCCCACACCTTTACAGGCAGGAATTCTGTAAAATAAGAAAAAACAAAACATGACCAATGATTTTTTTTTACTTTGAAAGCCAAATAAGTAGAAAAATAATTAATGTGCAAGGCTTTGTGAATTTTACCTCAGTAGTCTTATTGCATGACTGCTACCATCTCCCTCCACTTGGACTCCCTGATTTGGAATCTCCATGTTGGACAGCTGTTTTGAGAGACAAAGACGTGAATCAGGGAGCGTGACAATGATTCAAAGTACCTGAACGCTGCTTTACGTACTTCTGCTCTGAGGCCGATAAAAGGCATGTTGGTGTCGCACATCGCCACAAGGTGAGCCAACTCTTTGTTGAAGGCACACATTTCCCCTGACCTCTTAGGTTTCTTTGGCTCTGTATCTCCTTGGTCCCCAACAGCCTACAGACAAAAAAGACATATTCAAACGTTATTTGCCTTTTCCTCTAAAAATCCCTTGCTATAAAGAGGAAGATAGCCAAAAAAAAAAAAAAAAACTTTGTTCAAACTAAGTTATTATACTAAGGTAAAACACTACAAATGAAAAACATTCTGAATGTCTTATAAATATTATTTTTTTAAATCAATCATCAAAAATAATGCCAAGTGAAAAGTCAACTTCCTAATAATGTAAAATGTTTTCATAGCTACAAAAACAATAACTACTTTTCTCTTAGTCCCGGGGCGGACATCTTTGTTTGCTGTCGAGTCCTGAACAAAGTGCTCCAAGTTGGCCTTGAAATGCTGCAAAAGCTGTGCGCACGTCGGCCCATCATCTCCTTCCAACTGGGACACTGACAGGAAAGAATACTTATACTGCAATGTTGTGGGACTGCTAGGTACCTCAAGCATTTCCACCACCTGTAAACGAGACATGGTGATCAAAGACCATAGTTAAAAAGGCTGAGAGAAAACCTTAAAAAAAAAAAAACATATTAAGCCACTTCAGCTTTTTAAGTAGCATTTAAGGATGAGGACTCACAATGTAGTACTGTGGAAGACGGGTGAGTTTGATGAAGAGTTTGTGCTTAGACAAGTTTCCGACGGGATGAGTGGTTGAGTTGGTGAGGTGGAGGATATCAGTGGAAACAGTGGGAAGGTGTTTCACAGACTGTCTGCAGCGCTGCTCCCCCAACCAGAACCTGGTCAGAGAGAAAGAAGAAGTCAAAACAAGTGGTGCTACTTTCACCCAGTCAGTTAATTGTACATGTATATTTTTCATTCATATTCTTTCACCTACTTCAACTGTTGGAGCCAAGATATGATGCGTTTCATATCATCGTTGATTGTTTTTTCAATGTCATCCAGCATTGACTGATCTAGAGAGAATGAAAGACATGTTTTATGTTAAGAGGGCAAAAAATACACAACAACCAGGGACCATTTCAGTTTAAGCATAAAGCTAAATTACAAGAACATAACTTGTCTTCTTTTGTTATTCTAAACCAAACACTGTTGAAAACACACTCAAATATATGATCATAATACAACTAAAGAAAAATATAAACCAAACAAAGAATATGTCTCTGCTTACCTAATCCATACAGCATAGGTTGAAACATACCAGAGTGCAAGTCTACAAAAATGTGCAGGCACTCTGATCGACCGCAAGGTTCAAGTATTGGAATGACCAGCGTGGGTAAAGCAGTCTCAATGAACGCTGAAATAAACCAAAGACATATTTTAATACACATTTAAATCAACACAATAGTGCAGATGACAGAAAGCATACTAGGAGACATTAAATGGAAAATAGAGCATGTAGGGTGTGTAAAACATATATATGTGCTAAAAAACAACATTTCTCCTTATTTTTATAAATATCCAATGAAGTGTTTATATTTTATTGCCAGAAAAGGAATACACACAGTTGTCACTGGGATTGTTGGTCTTCAAAATGGCCTTGAGTTCCTGGAGTTTCTGATGAGACCTGGCATGCACACTATCAATCAAAAGTTTTTCCACAGACAGGTGGTCGATCTTGATGGTAAGAGAGAGAAAACAAATACCGTTTTTATTTACAAAACAAAAATGTATTTGTGCAAAATTGTATATACTATTATTGAAATCAAGTGTTTTACCTTCATAGCTCGTTCCATTAATTTTGAGTCACACACAGGCAGAGGAGGTTCGTGGGATATTTGTAATGGTTTAGATACATCTGATTCATCGATCTTAATGGTGACTTTATGCACTGATGCCGTGCCTGTTTTTCTACCCAAAACCTGTTGGCTGAACACACAAAATGGAAAAAAAAACAAATGGTCAAAACTGTAGTCTCTTTTTTTCCCATTTAACAGGCTCTCATGTCTCCATAAGTAAGAACAGTATAATAAATCATACTTCCAGACGGAGAGCGTGAGGTATTTGGCGGGTACATATCTCTCCTCCTGCACCAGGTCTCCCCAGCGCTCTCTGATCAGCATCAGTGTCTGGGAGTGGAGCACCTCTAGCTGCAGTGACAGGCAGAAGGAGTCTAGCAAAAACTGCAGTTAAAGAAAGAAACCATGTGGAGGAAAAACCTGGATAAGGTGGACAAATTTAAAGCATTTTGTTTATCTCCTCATTCACATTCCGAACACACACAAACACACATAGTCTGCTAGTCAAAAGGAGTGTTTGTGCCTCACACAGACTGCTCTTTGACATGGTGGTGGGTGAAAGGCAGAGATGTAGTGATTAGCATTGTGATTAACACAGTAGTGCTCAGCTTGCATGCTTGATTAAGGACTTTGATGACAACATGAGTGCTTATATTCAGTTGTTTCTCTCTCCATGACAGCTAAATGTTACCAAATACTTATACTAAGATTTGGAGAAGGTCTGCAGTAAATCATTGCCTGGTGTTACAAATATTGGCTGTGCTGTTTAATGTAAAGGTTGACACATTTTCTGTATGTGAAGCATAGCTGTGTTTCCATACACACCAACATGTGTGGAGAAGCAAACATCTCCACCTTGCAGTCCTGGCTGGGTGACAGGTTATAGTAAGCACAGCACTGCCCTGTCCGGGTCAGTAACAAAAGACTGTTTTGTTATTTATGAATTAATGAGGGCAAGTCTCAAGAAAGATGCAATTCTGCAGCTGTGTTTTTCCATTGGAATGCTGTGCTCGTCTGGTTGACCAGTCAATACTCTATATGCTCAAACACACTTTCCTGCCCTACTGCAGTATTTCGGAGGAGACTGGGATGAATGCCAAGACTTGCAGGCAAGGCAGAAAATGCTTCTGTGTGAGTACTGGGACAAACACAAAGGATACGCAAGCAGTTGTACATGTCCTGCAGGGGTTTTTCATCTGCACAAAGACGTGCCTGAACCAGCTCGTGGATGAAGTTCACCTGCAAACTGTGGACCAAGGCTCTGCCATCTGTCAATATGGGGGTGGGGGGGGTGGATATGGGAAAGAATAGAAACATAAACCGTGAATGAAAGGAAAATCCATTAACAATCAAGCATGCTGCCATCCCGTTCAGATCTAATCACTATGTTGTTAGGTAAAGGAGAATGAGTGCCCTTCTTACCACCAGTTTCTTTGTCCTCCACCAAAATCTCCAGCTTTAGCAACCTCCAGGGAATATCAGGGTCATCTCCCATTACAGTTAAGGTGGCCTCAAACTCTCCCTCCACACGAAACTTGACACGCCCGTTGGCTTTAAAAAAAAAAGGAAAAAAAGATGACAGTTTGTTTTTGTTTTTAAAGGCAAAATAAGCTAAATTCATTCAATTTACAAAGGTCACTTACCAACTGTCAGATTTGCTAGCTGAGGTGGTAAGTCTGTCGTGACAAGGCGGTGTCGAAGTATCTGATTAAGCTGGCTCAGTGTGGTCTGCTTCTCAACTTTAGTAATGGGGTCAGGAGGAATGATCTTATCCTTTAAAAACATAAAGAGTTCCACTTACAAACAAAACATACTGGAAAGAGCTGCAACATTTATCATCTTTCCAATTGCAACATTTATCAGCTGACAGAATAAAAGTTGAAAACTTACTCGTATGCATGTGGGCAAACGTGGGTATGACCCTGTGGTCAGCACGTCAATGGCAAATGGAATGGCAAAGCTAGGCAACCGAGCATGTACCAGGGCATCCCTGGCTAGTGATGCCAGTCTGTCAGCTGTATCCACAAACAAGATAGTCTGTTGGTCCAGGAAGCTGGAGATCATCTGTCACCAGAAATACCATGGGAAAGAGGTGAGCTTAGGGTTATTCTTTGCTTTGGGTAATACTTAATACTTGGGAAACAACAATTAGCTAAATAAGACACACAGAGTAATTCCATTGCACAAAACGTACCGCACACTTCTCGACTTTGCCTGCATTGCTTGCCCATTTTACTAGAGCCAGAAGACGTACAAAAAGCTGCCTGGTGCGACTTGCGAACTGGACAATCTCAATTTTCCTGAAAAATTAACAGTTAAAAGTTAAAAGATATATTTAGATGTGGCTAATGATAAAGAGGAATGAATGACACTTTGAAGAAACATACCTTTCCATGTCAGTTTTTCTAGGGAGCCTGAAAGAGAAACATGTATTCTATGACAAACTCATCAACTCGACATAAGTAGATCATGCTTGTTAACAGGTCAATACTGCTTGAACATCAATATTGTTATGTTCACTTTTATACATTTGAATAACGTGGACTATGGTAGTACTTATTTTCAATAGAACACCACTAGTAAACTATATAATTTCTTTCTGTAGCTATATCTTGTTTACATGTGCCCCCGACCATACTAACAGTTAGCTGTACAACTACTTTCTGTTAAAAGGAGTTTGTTAATAGAGTGTATGAAACTCAACCTATCGTCAGAACATGAAGAAGCAACAGCTTATATCTGAACTTAAAGCATCCTTTGGTTTACAAACGTTAGCATCTTAGCCCGCCAGTTAGCTTAGCTTCTAAGAGGCCTACCGCTATTACTTACAGTTCTGCCAGCAGGGTAATTTCATGGTAAGTCCTCTGGAGAAGAAAGTCAATAAGCACGCTTAACCGGACCCCCTGTGTGACTGGAGTCCCGGGAGGTGGTGGCTGTGGGGCCGAAACAACCGGACCCCCGAGCGGGACAAGCTGTCCATCTGACCCAATCTGCACCGGAGCCATTTTAAAATGACGATACAAGCTAGTTAGCTGCGCTGCAGCACACCTAGTGCTACAACTGAAAACCGTACGGTTGTAGTGGATATCTCTTTACGAAAACACTTCCCTTGTAGCCTCACACCATTTCTCTCACGAGAAGGGTTTTTCACCGTATAGTTCGTTACTTTGGTAGAGTGAAGGAACTCGGCAATTGAGTAAAATTCTGTAACTCATTACGGAGAATTCTTAAAGCCATTCAGCCGCCATCTTTGCTGTCAGGGATGATTAGCATAGGAGCGGTACAAGAGAAAACCCAGCCAAGACTTCTGGGGAGTGAGAGTTATGAACTCTTTCTGTGTTTTTAAAATCTGAATTGCTGGGGTTTAAAAGTAAAATAAATAAATAACTTGAAATATTTTATGTTTGCAACGTTTGCACCATAGATTAAACAAATTAGTTATTAATCCAGCAACCCAAAACATACATAATTTGTTGCCCCGGTCACAGGTGACAAAATTTGACAGATAATATGTTCGAATTTGCCGAAAATTTCTTGGTAATATATTTTCATGGCAACAACTCAGACTTGAATCATAAACAACTATATCAATTCACCAACATCACAATCTTAAATATACGTGTCATATAATACATCTCAAACTAATTTGATCACAATGGTATAAAACTGTAATTGGTCAGTTCAACCTTGTTAAGACAATGACATTGATAGCAGGAACCTAAGTCTGTTTGTATTCATAATTATTTGAATTTCTTCTTACAACTTTCCTATAAGACCAATTTCCACATTGTGAGATGGATAGAGTTGATACATTTATTTACAACATTTTTCAGATTTTAAAACTTCTCTTTTTCTTGACACCTGTTTTTATTGTGTTAGTCATTTATAAAAACAATTTCCTATTCACTTCCCCCTGCCTTCTTTACAAATGAGAACAGAACATTTTAAAAACATTTAAAAAAAGAAAAAGGATATTATAAAAGTATATTATGAAAATGTATAGATTATTTGTAAGTAATCAGATAGGAATTTTATATTGTATTAATTATTTTTTAAAACATACAACTATTGATGCAGGTTTCCAAAATTACAAATAAAACATTACCAAAGATAGAGTATGAAATGCTGCGATGGACTGGCGGACTGTCCCCTGCCTCTCGCCCGTTGACCACTGGGATAGGCTCCAGTTCCCCCCGCAACCCCATTAGGGAATAAGCGGTATTGATAATGGATGGAGTATGAAATGTGTTACTGTACAGTTTGGATATTTAAAAGATTAATTTAAGAGGAACACAATGCACCATACATCACAACATAGTCATGCTTTTACTGTCAACCCTCACAATAAAAGGGTGGTAATAATGGAATAACAGTATATCTTGGTAATTGTGCCTTTATAAAGAATTTAAGGAAAGATGTAATTTTTATTAATCCCAAAACTGGGAAATTATATAGCAGTACAGTATTGCAGCAAGTCATACAGAAGTAAACAGGGACAAGCTGCTAAACTTAAAGATATAAAGTAGAGTTAATCTTAAAGTCTGCAAATATCAAATCCTATACATAAGTGGTAACTGTAATATTGTGCAGCAGGAGCAAAAGTATGCTAATCAGAATCAGAAATACTTCAATAAAAATTGATACTAGTCTGATCGTGTGATCAGACCAGTATCAGTAATAACTAAAGTCAGCGTGATGGCTTGTTGGAGGAAAGATATCCTGTTTTTGTATGTTTACTAGCCAAGCTGTAACAAGTCTGTTGGAGAAGTTGTTCCGCTGTCTGTTAAGTGGACATTTGATAATGTCGATTCTTATCATTTCGACCAACTTTCCATTTTTGAATTGCTGCTGCCGCTTAAACTAACTGGCAAAGGCATATAACAGCTAAACCTATTTATATGAGGTTATTGATATTTTGTGAAGTTGAATTAACTCTGAGGATCAGTTATATGAAATCTAATGTGAGATGCCAGCAATGGGTCTTTTCTCTTCCTGTCTCTTCTCAGCCATAGATGTAGGTGTGCTTACAGATCAGTTGCTCTCTTGATGGGTCGTATACATTACTCTTTTTAAGCAGTGACTATAATGTTGGCATCCAGTTTAGATAAAAGGAACAAAGAAAGCTTTTTCCCTTTAGTGGTAAAGGCTTTATTGTCATTTTGATCCTTATATGGAAGATAATACGGAAGAGATTTAATATAATTTACTCACTGCTCAATATTGATGTATCAGATGTACGTGTATCAGAACTATATACATCTGATAGTTATAGTCTATGATAGCCCTTGAAATGACTCATCAAATGAGCCACAATCTTATTCTTTCTCATACAAGCATTCATTTAGTGACTATAATGAGAAAATGCCAATGATATTCTGGTGACATGTTAAATGTATTTTATTCCTGTCAAATCACATATATATATAACGTAAACAGATATTTTTCCTCTATCTCACAACATTTGCTTGATTAAATTTAAGGCTTTTATCATGTTGGAGGAACTTTTGGTATATTACATAATATGTATGCAGAGTAAAATTGAAATGCATAAAACTATACCTAAAGAATTTATGAAGAGTTATTTTGATTGTTCTTTAAGTCTGGCTTCACACGTTCTCAGGGCAGATACTTAATCAAACAAAATCTAATCAGCAACTTTAAAAACTATCGTGATACAAATTGACCATCTGGGTTTTATTTCAGACTCTAAAGTATGCCCTTAGTTGGTAAGAGTTGGGCTAAATTTTCCCAAACTATAAAACACAATTTTGTAATGAAATATAGGGGGTAGTAAAAATAAAATAATTGGACATAATTGCCTTTTTTATCATTACCTTTACATTAGGCTGTGCTAGTATGATTATGGAATGACTAAAAGAACACTTCTAGGTCAGTAAAATACATCAGAAATAGATAATAATAATAATAATAATAATAATAATAATAATAATAATAATAAT